AAAAAAATCGTGTCGAAAATAACTTCATTTTCATCCTTCTTAAATAGATACCCATATGCGAACTATCCGTTTTTTTCTTACTTCTTTCCAGACAAACACCTGAAAACCACAACGAAAACCACATGTGTATAAATCTGGCATCCGCATAGCATGAAATCAGTCGAGAATGGAGCTTAAATAGGAAATAGGAAATGTTTGACGGGCGGGAACAAACCGTGAGAATTTAGGAAGCACATCAAAATATTAAACGCGTTCCATAAGTTCGTTGTCTCTCGGGATACGCCGAGATTTGCATGTTATATTTCGTGGACGCGCTACCGCAGACGGTCCATATAATACCTAGACAGTTGAATTACATTGTCTACATGACATGCAGTCAATTTAGACTATACAGAAGTATGGACACACCTAAATATCTCGGAAACTCAGGCTGCTAGAAAACACAAATCCATATCAGGAAATCAAATGACGCATCTGAATTTGACATTGAGATTCACCTTGAAGGTCATTTTGAGGGCAAGTTGATTTTTTCAAATGGGAACCCCCATTTTTTATTGCAGACATAGAAACCTGAAAAAAAATCTTTTCAACGGTATAAATATCATAGATGCCAAAAATACATACGCAGCGGTATATCTGATAGTGACCTTCATTCTGACCTTGTAGATCAATTCATAGCCAAGGTCAGAATGAAGGTCACCATCAGACGTGCCGTTGGGTTTCCTGCAATTTTCGCATCAAAAGTTTTTTTTCAATATCCCTCTTTTTCCAGCTATCCGCTGCTTTACAACATTCCATGAACGATCAACAATTGACCTTGAGATAACCTCTAGATGTTATTTTAGCCCCTATGATATTTATACCGTTGAAAGTAAATTTTTCGGATTTCTGTTTCTGCAGCAAAAAATGGGGATTGCATTTGAAAAAATCAACGTGCCCTTGAAATGACCTTCAAGGTGGATGTCAACGTCCAACTCAAGGTCGCCACTAGATGCTCCATTTGATTGCCCGAATCTATCTAACCTTAGTTTCAGAGATATTTGGGTGTGTACTTCGCATATTTAGGATCGTTTCGTGTGCATTATTGGAGATTTTCAGGATGCTGTAAAAAAACTATAATTTTCGAAAAATGGATTTGGGCATCAAAGCGACGAGATTCAAAATAAACATTATTCCAACGGGGATAAGACTCTGAATCTAGTTTATAGGATACCGTCTATGGCAGGCCCTTTTGCGTGGGAATCGGGACTATAAGGAAACGATCTAGACACGTCTGGGTGATTCGCGTTTCCGGGATTCCCATTCCCTATCATCTAAGTGGTAACAGCCAACAGCGGCTGAAAGCAGAAAGCTGCTGAAGGCATTTGCATGGACTGCACACAAGTGGCTTCTGCTTCTCACTCCTCGTCTCGCTGCTATTCGCGTAGCACAGGGCCGTATCTAGCACAATATTCACACTGGAAGCTGCGGTTTCATGTTTATGATACTCCCACCGTTATATGTGTGTCCCAAAAAAGTCAAGTAGTCTTGTGGAAATTTAAATGAAAAACAAAGGGCGATCGTGGACATGTCCCCGATAAAGGAACCTGTTCCTTTATCGGGGACAGATAATTCTGAGCAGAAATAGAAGAATTGGTAACCCGAGCGACGTACGTTTCTGCTTATTGGCTTCATCAGTCCCAAACTGGAAGCCACCAACAAGAGCCAACAAGCACATTTGTGGCTTCGGTCAGAAGACCTCGTGTTTACGAGGTATGAACCAACGTAAATACAAAGCGCTGGCAAGGGGGGGGGGTTAATCATCGTAAAAATCCGATTACGTAAGTACTTGAACACGGTCCTCTGCTGTTAATTCGATGCAAGCGAAATGTTTGTTTCTCTCATCCCATTCCTGGGCTGATTCCGGTCCCGACCTATCATGGGAATGGAGGAATGTCTGTGGCGGATATACCGGACGCATCAAAATATTTTGAGAGATGCGGTGGGACAAGATTAGAGGGTGGAACTGACTAATTATTATCTGATGGATGCTGCACCAGACGCGTCACGGTTGGTATTTTGGTGGGAAAAGGATACCTCTACCACGTGTCCATCTGGGTTGATTGCTCATATAACAACGCCAAAGAGCAGGGTTATTACGTAAGTACGTAAGTGTGAACTCGTACTAGTTGATCCATTATTTTCGGGAGTATAAACTTTTCCGTTGTTACGTCCAATGGAACAACAACCAGGAACTTTTACGAACACTGGATTTTTTCATAATTCAGTATTTCCAAAAATTCATTTTCCCAGTTTAATTATTTTGTTACTAGAGTCGTATTTTTATCAATTTTTCTCTTTGCATCTGTTTTCATGTCATTGAGGATCTTTGTGAATTTCTCAAGAATAAAATTATTTTTATTCAAATGAAAATGAGAAATACCTTGTGCTTATAAGTATCAACTTATCGTTATCCCTAAGATTTTACTTCCAAGGCAATTCTTTTTTTTATTCAATAGATCCATTAGCTTTCGAAATGTTCTGGGATATGAAATACGCGGCCCTGCCTCTAGGAAACTATCAGACAAAAAGGTACGACGCTGGTTAATATTTGACGCGTCGCATCATTCAAGTAAACCGGGATGTTTGTTTAGTAATTGGATTTGAAAATCAAAAAACAGCACGCTCCGACAGCAATAACGAACTTGTCGATATGTTAGTTCATGTGATGATCGTCGCCAAGCTGCCGTTGAGACTCCGTTAGGGTGTCCAAATCGCCCTGTTGAGCTACTGACTCTCAGAAAATACCCTGTATCATACGAGGGTGGTCTGAAAAATTTTCGACCGAAATTTTTCTGATTTTTTTTTTATTTTTCAACATATTATCCTCGTAACTCACACACGTTTCCCAGCGATGCTCCCATCTCTGTAACCAGTCCAAATAGTACTATGCGTTTTTCTGTGCAAAATAATTAATCACGAATGTGATTGCCTCTTCATTTGAGGCAAATCTCTATCCTCCGAGTGCAATTTTTATATGAGGGAACAAAAAGAAGTTGCTTGGAGCTAGATCTGGTGAGTAAGGCGGATGGTCAAGCCCTGCTTTCGGCTTGTCAACTAATGATGCGTAGTATGCTCCTGTAATGTTTTTCCTTTTGAAGATAACCGATTAAAATATCTCAAAAAACAGTCGCCATCACTTTCAAAGCCGAAAAAACAGTTTTTGATTTTTTTGGAGTCAGTTCCCCCTTTGCGGTCCACTATTTGGACTGTATTTTTGTTACGGTGTATCCGAGTAATTATTCGGCGCCAAAATTCGGATTTATTGCGCCTACAGAGCGTTTGCAATGTTTATTCGACACGTGTTTGGTCTAACGCGAGCAAACGCGGCACCCGACTCGCGGACAGCTTTCTCATAAATAAATGTTGATTTAATATGCGACAAACACGTGCTTTCGACATGTTCATAACCTCTGCCATTTCTCTCACTTTAATTCGGCGGTGCTCTAGCACCATTTGGTGAACTTCGGCGATGTTTTCGTCGGTATTTGCAGTTTTTGGACGTCCCGAACGTTCATCGCCTCCCAAGCTCTTACGGCCACGTTTAAATTCAGCTGCCCAAAATTTCACTGTGGTAAATGATGGTGCTGAGTTCCCATACTCATCTTTGATTTGCGTAAATATTTAATGACAGCTCAATAGTCGATTTTGTCCATTTTCACAAAAACACCTACATCAACTCGCTCAAACGAGCGTTACATAAGAACTGCGCATCCAAAATGGTTGAAACTTTGGTGAGTAACTGTCAACAGATGAACAACGAAATTCGCTAGCTTTTATTTACGAGTGCTGCCATCTCGTTGAGGACGGAAACTATTCAGACCGCCCTCGTATACAGCTTCGCAATATCAAGTACGTAACTTTATAGGTAAAAATGATACCGCTCAATCTTTGTCTCATATCCTAAATTAGAGCTGGGACAGCACATAGTGTTCGCGCACCGTGTCTGTGGTACATTCTAATTATTCCTGCCGTAATTGATTTGGGTTTCTATCTTGGTCTGAAGCAGGGAGGCAAAAGCACGATGGATCGTCCTCTTGGGATAGCCGCACCATCGTTAAAAACACCGTTGTATTTATTTAGTTCTCTTTGCATGATGAGATGCTCGGTAGCAGATCGCTACTGCCATTTTGGTATTTGCTTTGGAGATGTTTGCTTGGTGAATGTTGCATTAAAATGCGCAGTTAGTTTGAAAGTATTTCATAAAGATCCTTTGTGACTTATTATACAGGATGTTCCCTCATCGGTGAACGCCTCTAAGGTGTTCTTAAGCCAGAAACGCTGGTAACGTGTATGGTGGGAGTAAGCAGCATTTATGGTTGCACAGAATTATTCAAGAGGTTGAAAATAATTATTTTCAAAGGGTCTAGTTATAGATGAAGCGCTATGAGCTTGCCTTCTTGCGTTCTTTTGTGGTCTTTATTATTCCGGAACATCTCAAATGTACGTTGTGACTCTGGGTCAGACAGCATCAATTTTTTACCATCCTCCATTGTCTGGTATCCAACCTAAATTTAATTTTCAATCCGTTAATACTAACCTTCGTAAAAATTACGACTATGTTAACAGAAGGCTGGAAAACGGAGAAAAAACATAACCTAAAATTCTTGACACATTGTCATGTTCGTTATCCCCACTATTTCGGAGCGTATATCACCAAATAAAAAGCTGGCCCAGATAGAGTCTAGCCTTGAGTACTGCTCTCATGTTTGGGGTGCTGCGAGGCTCTTCCCTTGGGCAGTTCAAAAATAGGTTGAACAAAGTGTCTATAAGCTGCTCATATCAGCCGCGGTGTTCTGATATTTAAGCTTCTGTCTCGGTATAAAAAAAATTCTGTATGCCCAGGAGATTCAATTCCACGTCAAGTTTATAACAAAAGCGCAACAAGGCTTGTATGATAAAATAACGGTTAAAAAAGATTATTTTTATTGGAGACTTAACAACTTTGACAATAAAACCAAGTGAGATATAATGATAATAGACGTAAAAGTTAACATATCATTAATATAAATATAGAAATAGAATGCAATTCTAAAATCTAGACCAATGATTTTACAATAATAAATACTGCTTCCTCAAATCTAGTATCACAATTACCAATTTAATTTTCACTTTTTGAAAACGGTTAAATTGCACACTAGATATGCCACGTCAACTATTTCAAATAAATACACTTCCATTTTGGATCTCCTCGGGATTTTCAAAAATATATTTGTTGGCCTGTAGTGTATTATTCTGGATTGCCAGTTATCCACTTTTATTCCACTCAATTCAGTGTGACTAAATCCAAATAAAAATGGATTCATATAGTCGGAAAGATACAGTGGGCCAAAGAAGTATTGGCACACCATATTTTTTTCTTGGATCTCAACAACGAAACGATGATTTTTTATATTAAATTTATTTAAAAACTAACATCCAAATAGTCATTTATATGATATCCCTCTCCGATAGACACTGTGCAGACCAAATGCGGCACGAAGAACCGTTTTTGTGGCATACCTTGTATGACAGATGTTACAAAATCAAAGACACTTTCTAAAAAGTAAAGCTACTACTTAGCGAATGACATACTTGACTGAAAAAAAATACTAAAGAACGCATCTATAATATAAAAACTATGAGATACAAGGGACATTTTTGGTTAGCATGAAAAAATATTTACAAACGTGTCAATATAAATAAAGTCGGGAGCATACATACCACTACCATTAAAAATAACAATACTTGAGCTTAGTAGTTCCATTATATTTTAAATTATAACAAAGATGCCTCAATATATGCAAAATAGTTTAATGCGAACATATTTATCTGAATATATACAAATACATATTTCAAGTTCAAAATATCACTTTTTGAGCTTGAGTTTTGCACACTCAATAACATGACTAATTTTCGGAGATGGCACGCATGCTCCATCACTGTGCATTTATGACTAATATGACTTTATAAAAGTTAATAACGCCAGATTTGCACTTCATCTTAAAACTAATTATCTACAGAGAGTAAATTATTAAGAAAAAAACAAAGAAATTAAAATTCTCGAAAATTCGATACGGCACATATCGACAAACTATAACTAAATATTACTGAGATGAATTTGTTACACGTCGGTTTTGAAACTTCTCTTCTTGATAGGCATGAAAAAATATTTCCGATTTACTGACGTTTCGGCTGCCACAAAGGGGTTTAAAAGGTATGAAACGTATAACTTCCTGGTCACTCAGTATAGAGAAATAAAATTGGAAAGACATTCTGAAAGGTTATAAAAAGTCTTGTCGCTCCTGTACCTGACACGATTGAAAAAAGTGAGGCCACTTCCTTCATAAGCAGAAGCAAACAAAATAAAAATTCATGTTCATTATAAAAGTAAATAATTGCACCTTCATGTTCAAACCTCATGTACGCCGTGTCAAGTACGAGTAGTTTTATTTAAATGGAACTTGGCAAAAAAGCGTAAAGCAAAATACGTTCAAATGAACCAGCATTTGAGAAGACATTAGCGGAAAGGGTTTTGAGTTTTTGTTTTTCTAATGACTCGACTATGTTTCTCATATTTTGTCAGTTATAGTTTGTAGATTATGTATTCCGAACTTACGTCTATGAAAATATGGCAACAAAATAAAGGACATTTAAGGAATATAGTTATGTGCCTTTGGTTGTTTTTTTTAGAACACCTAACACTTAAATTAAAGCAGCAAAAACATGTTTATCCTTAAAAATAGAGCTTATTATTTTAGTTATCAAAATATATTTTTGTCTTTTTTTTATTTTGGGATATAACTTAAGCAGTTTTTATAGGAAAATCGACATAAGAAATCACGCAAGTATGGAAAAATTATTACCATATAAAATTTAAATTAAACCAACAGCAACAAAATAAATGAAATATAGACCGAAAATCTTAACTTTAAAAACAAGACGTCATATACTCCTATGATCGAGTAACTATAAATATATAGACTTTTTCTAACCGAATACTACTACAAAATATAATATGTACAGTTGCATTAATCCGAAAATGGAACTCATACAATAAAATATCGACGTTCTGATATTTTTTCGTTATAGGCAACTTAGCCTTCTAAAAATTAATTTCGAAAAATATAGCGATCCTGCCTTGACGCGATTTTTCACAAATTCATACACTCCAATATCCTGTTGCATACCCATTCCCTTCAGCGCCCGAACAGGGGTTAATTCTAGGTTAATTCAAAATCACATTAACTAAGAATTCATGCGTGTCCGAGCTCTTGATTCACAATACATGTGACACTGTTTTCTAATTCATAGAAACAATGAAAATGCTCCTTGGAGCAACATAGCTCTTTATAAATAGTGACTTTTGGCACCTGAATCGTATTGCATAGTGTGTCAATAGCGAAAAATTGTCATGTACAAAGAGATATCTTGTCTACACTTCATCACGAGAATTCTCAACACTTCATTTTACAACATCATGAGAACACATTATACATCAGAAGATGTAAATTTGGAAATAGTTAAAATTGACGACGAAGTTTCACAATAACATTGCGAAATGGTAAATTCATTTCAAAATGCATTATATTCATAAACTTGTGGCTCCTTAGTGATCTGAGAATCTAAAATGAACTTGTTTTTGAAAAAACCGGTCTGTTAGAGAATTATCGTGAAAAGCGTAGGCAATATCGGGTAGGTGTTCAGTTTTGGCATATTACCCAAATAAATTATTCGATGAAAACTTCTCAGGCGAAAATAGCAAGTTCAAGAAGAACTCCCGAAAGATTTTTTGACGATAGCCAAAATTAAAAAAATGGTAGCATGACATGAAAATATTCAATGGCAACCTGGCAAAATATTTACAGTATTCTATTCTACAGAACCCAACTTAATTTTGCCAGGATGCCAAATGAGAATTTGAAAATCAAATTTTGTAACAACAAACTTCATATCGCATCATCAGCCCTCAAAAAGCCACCTCAAAGAATGAATGACTGACTTAGTTTTTTAAAGCACAAACCGCTGAGTTGTTGTTTTATTGCTTGGTTTATTTGGGTATAACGTCAATATATTGCGTTAAGCGATTGCATATAGACTAAACTACTTGATTGATTTTATAAACCCTGACTATGCATGCATTTCCGTAAAAAGGAATTTAAAAAAGTACAAAAATAAAATATACTTCTTTATCCCTCATACGTAGAGCCTAAAATGTAAGTTTTTACCTGATAGACTGTCGTGACTCTAGCATTTCTATACTGTACATTGTATTCTAAACTTCAACTTCATTGCCGATGTGTCCAGTGTTTTCCTCAAAAAAGTGAGTTTTTCTGGAAGCTAGAAAACGCGCCATAATATTCAAATGAGGCATGCATCTCAGTATCATAACTTTCTAGCATCAACGACTAAAAAATGAAAAATGTTGTCAAGTAGATCGACTCGGTATTTCCCATATAGGGAAGACGTCCGTAATATTTCACGTGTTCTGAGACAAAAAGCTCATATAAACATGGAAATACAGAGTACTGTAATTATTATTTTTGTTATTAACCAATATATACAATGTTTTGGTAAACGGCAACTTAAGACATAATCGGCGCCAAACTGCATGAATTGCATTATGAAGTGCTGTCGCACCCGATCTGGCCTCCTGTGACTTTTTCTTGTTCCCTAACATGAAGAAATGGCTCACGGGAAAAAAATTCAGCTCAAACGAGCAAGACATCGCCGAGACGGTATTTTAAAGAGTCCGACAAAGCCAATTTTTGGGAATGAAGGAGATGCGTGTTCAAATCCCGCAAGCGCCCATTTTTCCTATCTCTCTAGTTATTGTTAACTAAACATACTCGCTGTTCGTACCTGAGACTATAACAGTGGCGTATAAACTGGAAAATTTGTACCTACTTCAAAATAAGAAAGAAAATTAATAGAATATAATTTACAACACCCTTTATCCTGAATACGAAAGCCCATGTTTATATGACCCCTTCCCTTCAAAACAACTAAGAAATATTGGCAATTTTTAATACACGCAAAAAATGTGATATTTTGCAACTAAAAAGACATGGCAGCTTACCTAATACATTCGATACAAGCCACATTCGTCTTCTTTAAAAAGCTATAATAGGAATAGCAAATATGACTTTTTTGAAGGAAACCAGCTCGACATCCTGAAACGGTGTAACACTGTTTACTGATTAAAAAATATAGATACGTTATTACAGTACAATGCTCAATATACAAAGACGATTACATATCGTATATATCTTTTTCAGATAAGTCTAGAGCTACATATACATAAATATTTTGCAGGGTGTCAAAACAGTAGGAGATGATTTTTAAAATAAAAAATACTTTCCGAGATTTATATTTTTTGTCAACTAAAATATACTAACACCTCAAAGCACAACAGCGGTCAAAAGAACACACTGAAATAAATATGCATACTTTAGTGTAAATAACGTTAACAGAAAATCACTAGCCTTGTACACAGCATAATCAAAGATTTTTTTTAAACGTCAAAGAAAATTTACACCTTTTACTTTCGATTATGTTCAACACCCTGTAATTTTCTTCCTTCTTTTTAGTTCTTGAAAAAATAGGTTCCATAGGCTCATTTTGTCAGACTTCAGAACTTGACAACAGCTGAAGATTAAATGTAGTCTCAATATTTCAACACCTGAGATCATATTTTTGAGACTTGTTCAGTTCATTTTGATGCAAATATATACAGATTATAGAAGCACCATTTTAATATCTTCAGTTTGCTCCACTAGAGCTGATATAATGATTTTTCAGGAGAAAGAGTAGTCGTATTTCAAATTTTTTTTAATAAAGTAAATAACACGGTAAGTGGTATTCTTAATAGTCTAATCATATTAGCAAATTGTCGCGTAATAATTGTAAAGTCTGGCTTTATTGTTGCAAGTTGTTAAAGGGGGTATTTAAAACGTGGATGCATAAAATGGGTACACCAATTTTTGTGCGAAAACTTTTTATTCAACAACAAAGAATGAGACAACGTGCTTTTTGGGATTCAATCAGAAGTGTTGGCACGAACGAGAAAACTCTTTAAATAAGATTTTTAGGTATTTATAAGGCTTACAGAATAAGACCACAAGACTAATAACAAAAATGTGATGGCCGAAATAGGCAAAATGCAGGTTTTGACACTTGTTGGTAATGCGACGATAGTTTCACGCAACTACTTGAAAATTTTTCAAATCCGTAGGATTCATACTTCTAAATAACCACAACAAACAATTAGTGATTCTCAAAAACTACTTGACCAATCTACTTCAAATTTGTTGTGGTTATTTAGAAGTATGAATCCGAGAAACCATCGTCGCATTACCAAGTGCCAAAAGCTGCATTTTACCTCGGTTTTCGGCCATAACTTTTTTGCTACTAGTCGGATCTTTTTACGTGTGGTCTCATTTGTCTTCATTAAAAATCTTATATGAAGAGTTTTTTCGTTCCTTCCAACACTATCGATTGAATCACAAAAACCACGTTTTCTCATTATTTGAATAAAAAGTTTTCCCACAAAAATTGGTGTACCCATTGTATGTATTTTACAATTATTTCGCAAACCAGGAGTATTTTCGTCTAATATGATTAGACTATAAGGAGCGGATATAACACTAAATAATTTAAGTTTTGATACGAATGTTCAACTTACACTGCTTGTACTCCAAGAACCATCAATCTGTCAAAAAATTGCAAAAGACCTTTTCAGTAATACACTTTATTTTGTACAAAAAATTAAAAAGAGCCTGTATACTTGTGGGGTTCTAGTTTAGTCTAAATTTGACGTTCAATATCTCGTAAAATGTTGACCGTATGGTAAAAGTTTGTACAACAAAATGGTGAAGAATTTAATTCTATATAAAAGTTACCCTCTCACTTTTTATAGGTTAAGAGATAATCGATTAAAAGCGCTTATCAAAATGGCGGCTAAAGATCCGGCCCTACAGTCACGCCAATTTTGATTTAGCATCATAGGTCTGACCTTGACTGCGTTATGCGTTTCCCTAGGTCAGACTGTGGAGTTACGAACCTCCCGAAACCAAGACGCAAACGTACTTTGTTTATCTATCGTTTTTTTCTGAACCATAATAACCAGATAGATCAGAGTATAATCACAAATCTTTTTGGCCAAATCGCAGGTGTGACAATCAATGAAATTTGAGGTTTTGCACATTGAACGGTCAGGTATGATATCAAAGAGATTTTTATAGTAAATTTGTTGTTTCGTTTCAGTTTTTGCCAGAAAATCCGAAACAGAAAACTATATTGGAATTGACTAAAATCGTTCTTAGCTACGCGAGTGTTAAGGTGAAATGCCTCTTGATGAATTCTTACTCCTGAAAAGTCACTTTAAAATTACATATACTTCAGCTATTGATAAAATCTCACGTTCAGGAATATATACATATATGTCTAACTAGGTAGTTCCAATTTTAACGATCAGCAATATACAGGGTGTAAAGTTAGTAGTGGATCAACGGAAGTCAGTTGATAGAGGGACTCAAAACATATCGAATGAACCCTTATATGGGTGGCCTAAAATTGTATAGTTCAGGAGATATTTGCAAGTTTGTGAGATTTCGAAATAAAACGGGATAATGGATAATAATGAAATACAACCTCAATTTTTTTACCACCCTCCAAAGTTGAGGGATGGGACAGATTTTTCACAAAAAAATGAATTTAAATTTTTTTGCGTTGATTAGTAAGCTCTGTTAAAGAGTGACATAACAACTGCTAAAACTAACCATTTAGCTCATCCCAGAAAAAAAATCACAGCCCTAAACCTAATGATCTAGTTGTAATTGCAACTGAAATTGCATTATCCCGTTTTTATCGAAATTTCACAAAATTGCAAATATCTCCTGGACTATAGAATTTAGGACCACACATATAGGGGTTCATTCAATAGGTTTTGAGGCACTCTATCACCTGCCTTCGGTTGATCCACTACCAACTTTACACCCTGTATACTGTTGGTTCTTATGTCTCCAACAAATGTACAAACATTTCTTTCAGTTGATCAATGTGTAAACAAAATGACTCACGGAAAGGTTTCTTGTTTATCAGACTTCAGGCTTATTTTCCTGCCAGATCATTTTGAGTCCCCTACCACATTTGGCGCTCAGCTTTCAATATATACGAGGTGCGTTCAAAAAGTATCGAACGTAAAGCAATGAAGCGCGGGGACTTTGTGGAGATATATAAGGGACATTTATCCCGGAATTTTTCCTTCCGCCACCTTCGTGATGCTGTGACTTTTGGCTACTTCCTAAGCTCAAAATGTCGCTGAAAGGGACCCGATTTGAGTCAAGAGATCACGCGGAATGCGACGGACCGGTTAAACACCATTCCAAAAACTGCGTTCCAGGACTCTTTCCAAAAATGGCAGAAGTATGTGCATCGCCAATGAGACTACTTTGAAGGGGATTGAAGTTTCAGACCAAATAAATAAATACGTATGCCGACCAAAGGTTCGATACTTTTTGAACACACCTCGTACTACTTAAACATCGAGCAGACGATGACCTGGTACTGATTTCTGGTATGGATCGGGGTCCATAAGAGAGATTTCGACTCTGAAAATAACTCAAATTTCGAGTTGATTTTTGCATTTAAAACTTTTTTCAAAATCTTATTTATTTTAGTACTTGCATGTTGTGGTGCAACGCGTTAATTTTTATATATACAGAGGGCCAAAAAAGCATTAGCATAACCTTGTTTTTCCTGAATCTCAATAACGAAAAGATTAATTTTTTAGAACAATATAAGAATAATAATAGGACTAATGAAATTCGAGGGTTAAAGAAGTAATGAAACGCTAAAAGAAGTAAATAAGATTTTAAAAAAAATATTCGCAGCTAATACCTTATTGTCATATCAGATTCAAGAAAAAAAATGGGGTATGACATTACTTTTTTGACCCGCTGCATGTTGTCTCTCAGTGTTTTATTATAGATTTAAAGAAGGAAAATAGTTAAATAAAAATGGGTGAAATTTGCCAAAACTACGAACCTTGGGCTTTTAAACTAAAAACAAAAAAGTTGATCAAAGTTCATAGGTTCTAAAATATTTACTATAATTACTTTCAGGACTAAAAAATCCCTTTGGACCCTGACCATACCCATACGTTTTATGAAAGAAAATTCAGAAAGTATGCAACATATTGCCGACGACAAGTGGATAGAATTTGCAATGAATCGACATCTTAGAGAACAAAATGAATTTCCACCAAGATGTGCATTGTGTAATGACTTCAATATATACTCGTATATGTATAGAAATATCCAGCGTCAGGCGTCGTCATGTATTTAAAGCATTAAACAATATTGCAAACTCAGTTGTCCGATAATCAAATTCGCAGTGCCACGCTCGACAAAGCTGTTGTAATTATCGGACAACAGCGCGAGTCCTTATGTGTTGGAGACCTATTTTAGTGTCGCATGGTCACAGTAAATATTTATTCAATGCCTCGCGGACCGTCAATAGGCATCGTATGCAACACCTCGTCAAGGAGTTGCAACGCCCTATGCAGGTGCACTTCTATCCAACATGGTGTCTCTTTGATAGACTGTCTGGGGTAGTCAGGTCCCCAGCCTTTGACAAAACTCAGTCTCAGGATGCATAAACGCCGCAGGTCGTCTACTCCTATACCTGTTGCTGCTGATAAACCTGGAAAAAATACACATTCAAATAAGAATCAAAGAAAATATATATATATATATATATATATATATATATATAACTTGAGACGTGGTCATTGTCGTCTAGACCAGTTAGGTGAAAAATTAAAGCTTCCGCCTTTTGTTGGGTACTTCGACAAAATTTAAGCAAAGAGGACTCTTTATACTTTTTTTAATTCTCTCTAGCTATCAATGGACTTTGCCATCATCATCAGGAGCTGCAATTACAATGATAACAGTAGCAACAAAAGTGTAAAATGAATTTAAATTGAATCAACTTACAGTAGTATGTGAGGATGTTGCTAATTGTTGTTTTCGTATAAGATGAGGGAAACGTCCAGTAACATGGTGAGAGCTGGATACATGGTACAATGGTTAAAATTATATAAAATACGTAATGCTCTAATGTTTTCTAAATAATTTTTAATCTGTCTTTAGAGAGAGAAGAAATGAAAAAATTCACAGAATACAAACAAAGACATAAAGAAATTTTGAGATTAGAACTAGCCGTGAAAGCATTCATTTTTCAATTAGATAAAATCGTTTTTAGGCCTCGCCAGTTCGTACCCGACGTTTTATTCAGAATTTTGCCCAAACTGCGAAAGGCTCGACCAGACTATTACAGAAAGACGCAACATTCGACTTCGATAAGGAATGTGTCAAGTCATTAGATATCTTGAAAAACGTATCCCATATTAATTTATCCCAATTTACATGATGTGTACAAGTTAAAGAAACCTTGAAATATACTTACTGATTGCTGGGGCGATACCACCTACAGAATGGGGTCCGGGTATATGTCCTGCCACAGCTGCTGCTTGAGCTGCCGCAGCAGCTTGCGCTGTAGCGGCTTGAGTTGTCATTTGGTGATGACACTGACGCAAATCAAAAACCTGCAAATAAATGTGGTATTAAAATAACCCGACGGAATGCAATGTCTAATCATATTTAATATAATAATGATTGTAAAGTTTGGTTTTATTGGTGCATGTTGTTCAAGGGGGTATTTAAAACATGGACGCATAAAATGGGTACGCCAGTTTTTGCGGGAAAACTTTTTAATCGACAACAAAGAATGAGAAAACGTGTTTTTTGGGATTCAATCAAAAGTGTTGACTGGAACGAGAAAGCTCTTTAAATAAGATTTTTAGGTATTTATGAGACCTACAGAATAACAAAATGCAGGTTTTGACATTTGTTGGGAATGCGACGATAATTTCACGCAACTACTTGATATTCTTCAAATCCGTAGGATTCATACTTCTAAATAACAACAAAATTGGATAGTCAAGTAGTTTTTTGAGAATTTCTAATTGATTATCCCAAAACACCTGTTTTCCTGCCATCACTAGTAGTTTATTGAGCAATATACAGGGTTAGTTCAAAGGGCATTTTATAGAAAATACAATAGTTTACCTTGCCGATATGAATCGCAAACTTTTGCGGAAGATAATGTTATTTTTATGCAGAAAGGTTACGTTTTTTTCTTCTAAACAAATTCGAACATTTCGTATTTGTGAGTAATTGAGCAAATGCGCTACGATATTCGTAAAACATACGGTACTATACACATTTTAAAACAAACAAACAAATTCGAAATGTTTGAATTTACTTAGAAGAAAAAAATGTAACCTTTTCGCATAAAAATAACATTTATCTTTCGGAATGGTTTGTGATTCATATCGGCAAGGTAAACACGTGTATTTTGCTATTAAGTGCATTTTGAACGAGGTGTTGTGGGACAAGCAATTAGAAATTCTCAAAAACTACTTGACAAATATATAATGTTGTTGTTATTTAAAAATATAAATCCTACGTATTTGAAAAATTTCAAGTATCCATCGTCGCATTACCAACAAGTGCCAAAACCTGCATTTTGCGTCGTTTTTCGGCGATAACATTTTTGCTATTAGTCGGATCTCTTTACGTGTGGTCTCATTCTGTAGGTGTCATAAATACCTAAAAATCTTATTTGAAAAGTTGTTTCGTTCCTGTCAACACTTTTGATTGAATTGATCCCAAAAAACACGTGTTCTCATTCTTTGTTGTCGAATGAAACGTTTTCCCACAAAAATCGGTGTGCCCATTTTATGCGTCCATGTTTTAAATACCCCCTTAAACAACTTGCACTAGTAAAACCAGACTTTACAATTATTTCGGGGAAAATAGGTCATTTAACTTGACAATAGTTGAAAAGTGACCTATGACCTTGAAACTGCAGTTTAACCACATCTGAAACATTCACCCCCGTTCCTGGAATTAGTGATCGAAACTAACATGCATAATGAGGTTGATGCTACGGATGCCACAGAAAAATCGGGAATGAGGGCAGCTCTGTGACTGGTAAAGTGCATTGAATGCTACCACACTGTGGCTTCTCTTATGAACGAATTTTTCTCCAACAAATGCAAGAAGCTCTCATTCAATTTTCCACCCAGTCAACAGGAAAAATTATATTCACTTTCTTAAAATGTACGTTTTAGATCCTAAAAGAGATATTCTAATACAGAACTGACGAGCATTCTAAGATTATATTGGCGATGTTTCTCATCTCGTTCATGTTGTTTATTCCTGATGATGATTGATAACCATTGATCATATTACAAACATCAATTCATAAAATAACTTAACTACTTAACTGGCCTTCCACCAAAATATTTGTTAAAACTGTCAAAATTTCAATTTGCGTACCTTAATATAGGCCCCGGGGTAGATCTTGTGTACAGCATCACCAGGTTGTCTTCCTGCTTCTCTATCCAAATAGTAACTTTGAACAAAGACTGAGTGATCACTCAGACATCTCAACCATACATCTCCTTCTCCTCTAAGGTCCAACTGCACACCCTTCCCTGTAATATTATTAAAAAAAACATAATATAATTTAGATTGTCTTTGTTTTAAGAGTATTGTCATGACACTTGCCACTCAACGCTCAGCAATGTATGAATAACATGGCGAGAGTGTAAAATGTCAGTTACACAGCACTTACCTATATGTAACCTAGCTCGTTCACTCTGCTCAGTCCGGTGAACGTTACTTAAAGCGCCTAGACAAAATCTGTTACCACCTGAAGGATCTACATAACCGTCGACTGTTACATTTGGACAGTTAGATGGCACCTGTGGAAATATATATGTATGTAGAAATGTCAAAAACTTTAATGATGAGAATTCACAAAGCGAGAAAATTAGCGCCCCACACCAGTTATAGAGCACGAAAACTAGGTGAAACACTGACATACGTAATTGAATAAAAATTAACTACTAACTCATGAAATCGCCATTACTGACCGCAATGTCTTATTGAGAAGTAGCATTGCCCTCCCCGAACGAAAACCAAGACATGATTCTGTTTTATTGCATCAAATAAAACGAACAATCTAACAATTTATCACTTGATTTACATAATGTGCCGAACAAGTGGGCCGTCTTAAAAAATTGCCGACCGGGCCCTTTTCCATAGATCCGCCACTGAAGTATTTAAAAATAAAATGTACTGTTGAATTCGATACCGACTTCGAATACCGATCCTATGCTATGCCACTGAATCGCGCTTCGCACTTTAACTTTGCAATCATGTGTCCCCAAGGTCGGCTATTTTCACGCTTCGTTTGTAACCGCTAAGCCTCCTGGCCCATCAACGTGTGCGCAACATATTTTCGATTTTATGAATAAATCAGAAGTCCATATTTTTTAGTAATCGGTGGATATCACCCACACCGTATACAAAATTGTCTCTTACCCCATTTATGTGAATAGACACAGCTGGGTAACAAATAATAAACGGTTTTTCATTAAGGACTTGACAACTTTCTTTTTAAATAAAATGCAAACCATTCGAGATATCTCGAATATATTATTATTGGATTGAGGTATACTCAAAACATTTATGTATGCAATTCGACCTCGTTGATATGTCCACCAATGGCACGTTCGCAGCGGTCGATCCGTTGGACCAAATTTTCAATGACTCGGCTTGTTGGCAGAGACCAATGATTTAATGTAGCCCCACAAAAAAAGTCCAGAGGTGTTAAATCACACGACTTAGGCGGCCATTCGACAGGGCCATTTCTCGATATAACACGTTCACCGAATTTTGATTTCAACATGTCGATTGTTTTACCCGCTGTGTGGCTTTTGGAACCGTCTTGTTGAAACCTCATGTCATTAATGTCTAGCCCATCCAATTGACCAGAAAAATAACGTTGCAACATGTCTCTGTAGCGATCTCTGTTGACTGTAACGTGAAGGTCATTTTCATCAACAAAAAAAAAAACGGCTCAATGTATTTTCTGTGGATGAAGTGGTGTTTCTTGAAGCACATGAGGGTTTTCACCTGACAAATAACGCATATTCTGTTTGTTGACGAAGCCGTTTAGAAAAAAAATGCAGTGAAGATGATTCTGCGATGAAATTGATCATTTTCTTGCAACATTTCTAGAGCCCAATTCGAGAGCGTACGTCGGTTCATATGAGTTAACTTGATCTTATAAGGGTGTAGGCCCAGATCTCTTCGTAAAATTCGCCATAGAGTGGGCTGAGCGATGCAAAATTCTTGAGAACGCCATGGACGACGTGTTCTGTTCCAGCAGCAAATATTTGGACCCAATTTTGTTTACTAGACTATGAATTGCTTGGCTGCTGGGACGAGAATTACGACAAAAAATTGGCGTTAACGCTTTTAAAGTTGATGTCATCCCATAATAAGCATGTTTTTAGTAGCATTTATCAAGGCTTTAATATAACCGAACTGTTCTAAAAAGTGATAACAAATCAGACATCGCGTGGTGTCTACGATAGCCTAGTTTAGAAACAAACCGCAGTTGAAAAACCGAATTAACACACTCCTAGAGCAATAACGTAGTTATCGCTTTGATATGGGCATCTTCAAAATCCTATTGATGCTCCGCGAGTATACTGAGAACGTCGCCGTCGTCCTCGATGTTTCTTTCCATCATAGCTGCATATGTTTGTTTATATCGTCTGGTTGGACACAGTTGAAGGCCTAGATAGCCCTAAATGTTGCAAATTTAGAAAGAAGTAAACAAAACTCGTGTTTTTGAATCGAACAGCGAGTGTTTACAAACAAAACATGTGACAGGGCGTAACTAGAAATTCCAAACCAAATGAAAAGTGAGTATTTTTTACCAATTTCTTTTTTACGTTTTCGGTGTTGTTTTGACGCAAATTAGCATTGGCATTGCAACGTCCCAACTTTCACAAAAACACCGTGTACAAATCAAACCAGTTCATACCAAACTGTAAAATTAGAAGATTTTTTGGCAACCGCGTACTCATTTGGTTTGCATTCGGTGGAGGAAAACAGAACTCATAAAAAGCACATTAGCAGTAGTACAGCGCTAATTTTGTGTGGTCTATTTACATCCTTGAATTTTAGCTAGACTTCAAAGTCTCAGGAGATGTCATACCAAAAATGAGGCCAGAATGGAAAGCGAGAACACAAAATAGAAACACGATAAACAACAAAAAAATACCTTGAATGTCTCTCCAACCTGCGTATCCAGTTCAAAGTAAGCTACTGAACACCAATATTCGGGAGCTGGCTGTGATGATAGTAGGCCAGCTATGTTTACGTCTGAACTTATTTGGTTGGAGTTATTATGGTTCCCTGCAACAAAAATGCAACATTCAATATAAACAGATTTTTTGAAAATAGTGGGATACCCCCAAACTTCACGCGTCTCCTTTAATGATCGGACCTACTCTAACAGTCTGAAAAGTCCGAGCTCTTTAGAGATTATACTTGTCACAAACGGAATGTACCGAACAGGGTGGCCGATATGTAACTGACTAGTTTTCATCTTGAATATTTGTGAAATGAAATAAAAATACGTCCATTTTTTCATCTCAATCTCTCATTGAAACTTAAAAATTATGTATGAAAAATAATATCAGACAAATTTCCGCCTCTAGAAGCCACGCAAACCTGAGCTCTCTTGATTACATTTTGGTAGGTTTCGGGAAGAATATTTTTATTAGTTTATTGGCATAAACCGTATTTTTCAAAAATCGACACAAAAAAGTCAGGAGCCGTTAAATCCGGTGACCTTGGTGGCCTGTTGACATCACCAAATCGAGAAATTAAACGTCCCGGAAATATTGTTCGCATTGTTTCCCTAGCCGTGTGAGAAGTTGCTCCGTCATGATGGAACCACATGTTTTGTGCCATATTGTCATCAGGCTGAACTTCTTGGGTTAAATGAACTTTGTATGGCCGTCAATGCAAGTCTTTTTATAAAATAGTGCATAATGGCGTGCGACGAATACCCATTTCTTGAGAACGATGTCTCGTAGAAGTCTCAGGGCGCTGCACTACACTTTCACGAACTCTCTCAATATTTTCCGGAGTACGAACAGTTCGAACACGGCCCGACCTTGGCAAGTATTTAACTTCACCTGTTTGTTCAAAGTTCCGCACCAACTGAATAATGGTGTTGACACTGCGCACATCATTTCGACCGAAATCTTGTCGTAGCTTCCAAATCGTTGCAACAATCGACTAATTACTTCAGTAAAACATTTTAACAATACAGACCCGTTGTGGGATCGCGTAGCGCTCCACGATGATTTGGACACCTGTGCTCTAAACAACTACTAAGGCGCCACTAAAACTTACCACGGTACATCCATGTATATCGCATAAACCACCCCAGAATAATAAATCCTACTACTAGAACTGATATCGTAAGAAGAAACGTTTTATAAAGTGGACAAACAGAAAATAAAACAAGCCACTAATCTACATTATGTACAGGTGATAAAAGAATGTAGTATTAAGCAACAAAAATGTTGAGCAAGGAACAAAGCATTTGTTAATGATATATTTACAATATCATCGTTTTTTATTTTGAATTATCTCCAAGCAATTTGCGGGCGTTGCAAAACATGCAGATTGAATTCAAAAGTAAATTAGTTTAGACTTTAGTCCGAGCGATTACAGAGGTTTTACGAACCGACAAAATCGAACATTGACGTTTAAACATACGTTCTTTCTCAACCAAAGAGCACGTTTCATATTTTTTTAACACACAAAGTGACAGTCTAAGGCGCTGTACAAATAAAGTTACGCTACCCAAGAGTTTATTTGTACAATTTTTTGGAGGGTGAGACTGAGTGATGACGTCACAAGACACCACAACAACACACGCTTTCCCGCTATTTACAAATGTTACTCTGCACCGTATTCATGATTTACGGTAAAAACCATCGACTTACTAATACTGTGTACCTAGGTGTACGGCTCTTGAAGAACATGTTTGCCGATGCCAAAACAGAATAATTAAAAGAGGGGATAGATTTGATTGTTGCTTTTATTTAGAAATAATGTGAATATTATAGTGATCATGTTATGGCTTCAGGGATAATACCTCTTGAAACCCGTGTTTGTTGACGTGAAGAGATGCATAGGCGCGGTTCAGGAACCAATAACCTGACAAAAAAAATGTATGATCGAATAGTGTCACGTTTTAAAATAATCAGTCATATTGAGATGCAGAGTCGAAGGAGAAAGTGCAAGAAGAAAGAATTGTATTTTGTTCTATTTGAAATCTATCTGCGCCTTCTGGGTGACATCATAGGTACCATATATAACTCCAAATACATGCTGAAAATAATTTCAGTCCGATTTTGAAAAACAACACAAAAATACATGCATGCAAATCAGAATCGTAATGGCCTCTTGGCCTCCCTATGCATGTAACTTACAATAAGTGGTGTGGTGGTTCCTGCTATCTGGAGGTTGCATGGACTGGGTGTATGTTAGAGTATTGGATCCAGTCCAAGTTCCCCCGGGTCCAGTAAATGTTTGACCAATCGTTGGGGTTGGCTGTGGAGTACCGTTGTTGGTTGGTGCAACGTTCGTGGTCGTAGTACTGCTGAAGCCATTTTGCTGCAAGTGAGGAGACACTGGGGAACTGCTCGCTGTAACCAAGGTCAAAACGGAGTATAAAAACGAGGGAATTTTGATCTGGTATAAGTAGGAAGAGTGTGGTCCGAACTACAAATAAACCATTCGGAGTTTAATCCCGCACAGCCAAAGTTTTGTTTCTTTTTAGAAAGCTCTCAATGGATTTTTAGGTATCAGTACTTTCAAACAGGGTATCCTGTATGACAAAATTTTACTCAGTCAAGTCTCATGTTTTTTTTTTCTAATAATATAACACAAAAGTAATATTACACCCATAGTGCCCCAGAGTAATTATGAATGATCTATTAGAACATTGTAATTAGGAAAAATTTGAATATCAAACTATCCCCACGCGGGGCGGGGGGATAACCAACTCAAGTCTGCTGATATACACAATATACTTACGTATGTTTTGTTGGGGGATAGGCTCCTGGGTCCTTTCAGGTATCGCTGGTGTGGTAGACGAGGTATAGTTCGTCTGGCTGATGTTTTCTGCAAGTTACGATAGTGTTAGAAAAATAGATCACATCGCAAAAAATAGCGTCAAGCAGGTTGACTCTGTACGTCCCACGCATTTATTTTCAGGGCTCCTGTACAAGAAATCTATGATGTGTGAAAGTTTTTTACATCTCATTTTTTTAAATGATCTGAAACGACAAAGAACGAAATTTGAGCGTTTTTTTTTTCGTTTTAGGCCCTTTTCTCTCCCCCACCCCATACAACCCCCAATAGCAACGATTTAACCCTGCAAATCGATCAGGAGCCTCTGAAACGTGAAAAACGAAGTTTGGGCTATCTTTGCACCTAGCTTCGTCGCCACTGGACCGATTTTCAAAATCTACAAAGTTTTTTTGTCTTTGCCATAGTAGTAACCTTGAATGAATATGTCCTTCAAATCCGAGCAGTACTTTCCAAGTCTCAGGCGGACTAAAGATTAGCAGAAATGAAAATGAGTAACATTTAAAAATCGGGGGTTGTGAGAGTGAATATCTCAATTTTTCGGCGTTAGTATATTCATCCGCTGCTAGCCACGGTAATTCTACGCACGTATTAGACATTAGTCATGCAACATATATTTGTTCTTCAAACTTAAAATATTTGCAATACACGCGCCCGTCGCAACTTAACAAACCGACTACGAGGTTTTGGTCGATATCTGATGGATGGGTGGCTGGGCAGGTGGGCGAGTGACAAGATTAGTCATAGCAACATTGCCAGATGGTCGGTACTGTGGGTAGGACCGGGGAGAAATTTCTAGATCGCAACTTTGTCAAACGGGTGGGGACTATGGACTAATGGTATGAGTCTGTCTTATCCGAACATAATTCTCTATGAACTACTGACAGCGTTGCATGAGAAGTGCAGAGTCAACCTACTTGACGTCACTTTTTTATCTGATTGGTAACCTTTGAAAGTAAATTTATGCGAGAAAATTATACAGGTATTTTATATGGGACTGATTAAAACATAGGTATTCATATAAATCACAAATGCTCCTATTTTTTATTCTATTGTATACGAACCGATTCATGTGACTAATGTGCTATTGTTAGAATGAAGTGAGCAAGAAAAAAAAATAACTGCATATTGAAAATATTTTTTCAAATGATTCATAAAAATAGCACACTTGTTTAATGAATCGTGGGGACCAGTGCTTACTTCTCAATAAACCCGTTATCTTCAACAGAAAATGTCACAAATTGTTCATTTCTAATCACCTCATGAGCAATGATAAGATATTTTATTTTTGAAAAACAAGTTTATGAGTTTACTACCATTACGTAAAATATTTGTGTTCAAATGGTCAAAAACACGCACGGGAAATGCCCTCAATAAATTACGTATTCTATTTTGAAATAGATACCAGCTCTATTTAGCTTTTATTAAAGAAATTGGATCCATGAAAAAAGCATTGAAAACGATAAAAAATAAAACTTTTTTTATTTAACGTTTGCATCATTTGGGATGTAGGGTCAACATGTTTGACGTAATTTTGTTTCTAAAGGAGAGTAATCTCAATACGAATCATAAAGAGCTACGACAACTTTTATGTTAACCCTTTAAAAATGATTTCAACTAGGGCAGTTTTTTACAAGCCGAATTTCAGATCAAAAAATTCCTGCGTAGTAAGTGTACCGTGCTTTTCAGTTGTAGATGAAAATGTCTGAATGGCGGCTGGGAACCACCTTGGAATGTTTTAAATTGATTGGCTGATCACGTGGTACCTTATTTTCGAAACTCCGTACGAGTACTTTTACTTACGAGGAATTTTCAACTATCACTTCTAAGTTTGGCAAAGCACTGTGCCTAAGCTTTCAGGAGGCATTCCAGCAGAAATTGACGTAACACATCTCAATACGTCTAAAATAATACAGAGTGCGATAGAACCAACGAAGCATAACAAGAAAAAAAACATGGTCAACAGTTAGGTTTTGAAAATGGTGCCTCCAAGATAGCGGCCGTTGGTAGGAAATACGCGCTCTGAACAACTCGAAGTACTGGTCTATCCCGCCAAATGTTAATACCGCACACCACACGGTCAGTTTAGAGGAATGTTTCCGCTGGTGGGCTAAGAATAGTCCCATAATTATCCGAGAAAGGCCACTGCAGTGCACTGGACCGACAGTGTAGTGTGTCGGATTATAATTTGCTGTCGTTGGCCCGTACTTCTTTGAATTCTGTGAATTCTGCACATTATGTTTCGATGTTAAGGTTCAATGCCCAAATACGCCAAAATTTGTTTGCTTGAAACGCGCACCTTTTACCTCCAACTCCACGAACTAACTTACTATTGCGCTCACATTTGTACTCAACGTGTTCATGTTGAAATAATCTTCAGCGCTATTTTGGTATATTTATACAAAATTATCATACATTGATTGAAACAGTCCAATCACACTTATTGCACTAGAAATAATTTCATTGGACAACTTATTATACCAAATAGTAACGCCAATGTTAGTTAGCTAGCCCCTAAGTTATATAACTCAATATTAGAAAAATTCATAGAAGAAATATTTTTGAAAAAGATGTCTAAATTTTATATTTCAGAGTTTGAATTTGTTTCTGGTACTACTGTAGTTATATTATACAGGGTGTTCCATAATGATATGCGAAAAACTCAGGGTGTACTAAATTTCAGTAAAATATATGAAGCGGTTTTGAAAATATTGATTAATTCCCATTTTTTCCTTCAACTTCTACATCCCGAGTTTTTGTAAGGAAAAATTTTTGGACCATAGTTTATAAAGCAAACTAAAATTAATTTTTCATGTAAATTCACACCCTTAAATATTCGCATGTCAGTAAGGAACACGCTGTATATTTCAAGTACTTTTGTGCAAGTATTAGTGATTTTAATTACTTTAGATTGTATTGTTCTTGTATAATATTTCCTGCACATACAGATATTTACGTCTAGGTGTAAAGTAAACACACTATGTAAACTTGGAAAATTACTGTAACTATTTATTGTTAACGGATTCAAGTATATAAATAAATGGAAAATGAATTGAGCAAACATGTAAAAATGTGTGTTAGTGTGCATTACATTACTTTGTTATCTTTCTGTATTCCAATCAGTAATTAGTATATCTGCTGGTGGTGTATACATAAAACAATATTTCACATCCCAAACTAGAAGAGCTCGTTGAGACAGATGCACAACATTATATTGATGCTTCCAGAGGCTTGTCTCCAGGAGTTGGTTCTGCCGCACCCCATGAGGTCTGTAAATTAAGTGATGAGACTGGCAACGTAGCGTTAGATCTGGCAACACTGGAGGGGAGACAGGGGAACATGTGATCCGCCTTCAGTACAAGTTTGAACTCGGTCAAGCGATTTGGTTGTCCGTTGAGTTTTTTTTTTGTGAAACAGTTTTGCCTATTGCGTTCTAACAATGAATGACATCAATTTCGAACAACGGTGTTCTATCAGGTTCTGAGACATGCAACGGAAACTCTTGACAATCAGAATGATCGAGGAAGGGTTAAATTCGACTCACGCCACCGTTCGTCAAATCAAGAACAACTGCGTGTTGTCACACAGCAACGTCAATAAACGAGTTTTTCGCCAGCAAAAACATTCCTGTGTCTCCTCAGCCTATTCATTCGGCTGACTTGAGTCCTTGTGACTTTTTTCTCTTCCCAAGTTGGAAAATCACATCAAGGGAACTCTTTTTAGGACAATCCAAAACATTCAAATGGTTGTAACCGACCAGCTGAAGGCTATTCCAGTACCGGAGTTCCAGCACTGTTGAAGAACCGTATCCAGGTCTCCAGCGCTATGCGGCTTCAGAAGGAAGTTATTTTGATGCTGATAATATAAAATTGTAATTATATTATGATAAAAAAGATCAGTCTCATCACTTAATGTACGAGGTCTTCGTATAATCAGTATGTATGTTACAGGATATCTGCTTTTCCGGTACATATATTCATCTAGATAGTAAATAAAAAATAATCTTACGATGCATATGCATATGAGGTAACCAATTGCTGCGGGAGCATGCGTCTGGAGGTCCACCTTCAATTTTTGGTGTGGTGGTCGTAGACCCCAAGACCGGCGGTCTATTCGACGAATTATATATCGCTGGTTCACCTAGCATAATAACAAAAGAAAAGCATGCATAACAGAAATTATATGAAAGCCAAAAATCAGCCAGCCGTATCTGAAATCGCCCAGCTGTTAAATTAAAAAAAAATGAATTGGTTAATGTTGAATTAAATACTAATAAAACAAAATGAATGTCAAGTCGGACGACAACACGTGTTCTAATATTCGACTTTTGCAAAAAACTCTTAAGGGTTCGAGAAGAATGAAAACTACCCCCAATCCTACATAAAATAAAGATTTTTTTGGCAACTTTACCGATAACTCTGAATTTCGTTTATCTTCGTTTTTTGTCTCCTTTAAAAACATGCTATCTGGGATAGTTTTCGAGAAAAAAAAAATGAGTTGCATCAAGAGGTTCTCAAGCGTCTCATTAATTTTTCAAGTGTAGTTAACGAAAATAAACAAGTATGATATTACTTATTTCAATTTTATTTAATACAGGCAACAGTGCATAAACAATATATAACATTTTTTTTATTTCTCGAAAACTGCGAAATGGCCTGTTTTTATAAGAGACAAAAAATGAAGTAAACAAGGATCTTTTAACTGAAAAGATTCAAGAGTCGTTGGGAGCTCCAAAAATATTCTTGAAGAAAAAGTGTTTCAAAAATAAAATTTGTACGCCCTCTAACGAACAAAATCAGGTTCAATCGACTTATTTCGAGTCTAAAAATACATGGTACTTCTATGTTCACGTAATATTGGGACGCCCTCGTATACGAGATATTAACATGTTACTATGGGACACCCTGTACAAGCACTGATAGCGAATGAAAAAATTGCAAAATCGATTGGAAATTACCCATTCCCGTTCACAAGACTCCCTCACCTATACTATCTGCTATTAAATTGAAAGCTTTCGCATTTCTTTCAAGATAAGGATGTTTTGACTACTTACTTAGCGTTGTAAACAAGTATACACACATATCACCACAAATCAGACGGCATTATTGTACGATTTCAAATATGGTGTGACTGAAAATAAATCAAAACAACTACCTAACTAAAGAGAACTAAAAATTATAAGTGAAAAAATGTGTTCACTTGTATCTATCTTATCAATTCACCCGCGATTAAAAAAGCCAAAGAATAGGTCAAGCTGACATTTACGATACAGGGTGACTCAGAAATAATCACACTGCCATAAAACCGTTATCATCAGCGGAAGAGGTTAACTATATTATTAATATCGAAGTATGCGCGAAGGCAGAGCCTGAATGTCGAAGTACCGTAAACGCTATGAATAGATTACATACATGATGGTTCAAAAAACAAAGCCAATATTTCTAAAGAGAAGTACATTAATGCATTATTTTTCACATCATCATCACGGCCAACGTGTCAACAAGTAACAGCTGAAAATCTAGTGAGACTTCAAAATACTCCATATCATCAAGCGATACACAATTCTGACGAATCTATAGCCAGAGTCGTATCAAGAGGAGCATATGCGACCGTATTTTGAGTCATATTTTCTAAAATCGCTTTTATGTGACTTATTACATTTCTCTAGTACTTTCATCGTCAAAATCCTCCGTCAACAAAAGTACGTATGTGAAAATAAATTTTCATCAATATTGGGTGTAAATATTTCTTAATACTGCACCGAGTTACCGCAGATTCATCGTTGCCAATAGTACAGACTGATTATAACCGATAAACGTGATGAAGTATAGGAAAAATTGTTTTAAAACAGCTGTTAACAATAAATACGTTGTTTATTATAATCTGTCAATTTCGCTGTTGAAATGACAATTTTTCATTCATCTTTCATACTCACAAAATCTTATGTCTACCTTCACGTCAAATTTTGTATACTAAAACAGCTGCGCGACAAATCTTAAGTACTGAGGTAGACAGCTAATCGATATCTTAAGGATCTTAGAACCATAATGGTCACTTCCTCGGAAAAAGCAGATTCTGGCTACATGTTTGAATTTATACCCCTGGCGTTTGGGTGCGGTCACCCATTTTGTGACTGTCCTATAGCAGGTCAGAATCTAGCAAAAAAATGGCGTCAAGTAGGTTGACTCTGCACATCCCACGCAACGCCGTCATCTGTCCATAATGGATCACGATCAGCGCAATTTAAATCATCTGCGAAGAAGGTCAGTTACGAACATGTATAACCATATATCAAAAAAGCTTATAGACAATGGAAGTCTGAAAAGCAATATCTCAATCATCCACATTGTCATCAAGTTTCAAACAACAGTTTCTGTTCAATGCTTCCACTCAAATGCAAATACGAAAATGTAAAAACAAAGTTTTTACGCTTAAACCGAGAATGTGCCTGTAGTTTATATGAATGGGGTTTGGAGTGTCTATTTTCTATTTTCTTTTTTAAAACACTTTTATGGGATCGACCTGAATGTAACGGAACCTTTTAGCTCAATTTTCATCAATTTCAAGAAGTCGGATTCACCTGAAAATTTTCACGGCTATTTGAAATCAAACAAATGGAAGCAAAGAAATCTCCATCAATAAAAAAATCCAACTGTTGTTTCTCTTTATATATTGGACGCTTTTATGTTTGTTTTTAAAAACAGAGATCTGTTTGACGATGCTACAAATAAACATAATCACATGACTAGGCATAATGAAGATCTTATCCCAGATAAGTGTAACTTTAGTTTCATACAGAAAATTGCTCCATATACTGTTAAAAAAATGTTCAATAGTTTTCATTTAAATTTATTATATACTAAGTGACATATAAATCTGAACACCCAGTTTAAATGGTTTTATTTTAATAAAATTTTGTATAAGTACTTAATGAAGCATAATAAGTAAATGATAAAAATTTCAAAATGATTGCACTGCTTTAAAGCCCTTTGACCTTTAATAATGTGTGGATGCACCCTGACGTGCTACGCATTCACCAACGCGCCTAGGCATGCTTCTGATCAGGTGGTCAATGTCCTCCTGTGGTATCTCATTCCAGGCAACCACCAACTCCTCTCGAAGTGCTTCTAGAGTCTGAGGAGGACGTTGCAAATTGAGCAATCTCCTACCCATCATATCCCACACGTGCTCAATTGGGGATAAGTCGGGAGATCTTGGTGGCCATGGTAACAATGTGACATCATTATGTTGAAAGAAGTCTATTGTGACTCTTGCAACATGTGGTCGGGCATTATCTTGTTGGAAAGTTGGATCTGCCAAGGTGTCAAGATAGGGTAAAAGATGGGGTTCTAGAACTGAAGATTAAAGGTGACCTGGAACCATAAGCTATAGCACCCCAAACCATAACTCCAACAGTGTGATGAACATGTCTTTCAACAAAAAACTGTGGATTCCTCCTTTCACCACGTCGCCGTCTAACCCTGGCACGACCATCGTGCATGCCTAAACAAAATCGAGACTCGTCACTAAAGACAATACTGTTCCATTCCTGATCCTAGAGTGACCGTTGTCTGCACCACTCAAGGCGATTACGTCGGTGTTGTCGAGTTAAAGGGAGGACCCAGTGTGGCCGGTATGAAAACAAGCCAAAACTTCTCATTCGTCGGTAAACACTTCGCATGCCAATAGGTCTTCCGTGTTCTGCAAACCATTCATTTGCAATGGACCTGGTAGTGGAGAAACGGTCCCTTAAGGCCAATAATCTTAGGCGGCGATCTTCACGGTCTGTTGTTCTACGGCGGCGTCCAGTGCCCCTTGCTCTTTGCGTACGGTCTTCTCGAAGCCATGCCTGACAACACCTAACAACAGTGTGTACACACTCTTTGCACTCTAACTGCAATTGCCCAAAAAGAAAGTCCAGCTTCCCGAAGTCCCACTATACGGCCCCTATCAAACTCACTAAGTGGACGAAATCGTACAGGTCTCCGTACTTATCGTAACCGATCGTAAAGGATGTCAAGAACCAAAATCCGCCAACGTTGATTCTTTACTGCGGCTGAAATATTAATTTTTAGAGCGTTAGTGAATTAAAAAAAAAGCAGTATAAAAACCGGAAGGTCCAACTGATAAGGCTGAAAATTTTTTCACTTGTTATTTACAGTAAGATAAATACATTCACCAACTTTTATTAAAATAAAACCCTTTAAACTGGGTGTTCGGATTTATATGTCACTTAGTATAATAATAATTTACCGGAAATCAAAGTTAAAAAGATTATCGCTAATTACTTGATCTCCAAGGCATTTTATTCATTGAATGTTTTTTTTTTTGAGGATGAGGATAGACTTACTCTAGAGTTAATTATTCTTGTATTCCGCTTATGAATAATTAAAAAATTATCTATCTAAACGTTTACTTGCGACAAAGCACCACTTCACCCTGTGGGAAGACGAGACCAAGCTCCTAAAAAAGGGTCAAATTCAAAAAAATGCCGACATCGTTCAGAGCTTGAACATCAGAGGCTTTTTCGCCTATAACCGTTATTCTTGCAATGGGGCAGCATGGAGAATATCTGAGCCACCCTATAGTATAAACATATAACCTAAAGCTACTTCCAGCCATAAACAAATAAAAAACTCACTGGCAGGTGCCTGTTGAAGCCCAGTTATCGCAAAGTTCTGTTGAGGCGGATGGTGCTGTATGGTCTGCGACACATTGATGCCTAGTTCTCCGTCAATCTCCATGCTGCTGCCCGGAACTGGACCAGCAGTGTATTCATCTTTGACAATCCTGGGACCGCCTGATTGCAATGTCAAGCCTGACAGGTCAATACCCGGGGATACCACCCGCTCGTAGTGGTAAGGGTTAACACAGACCGAGTCACATTTCAAATCGAATGCAAACTGACAGTACTTGACGTGTTTTAGTTCGTTTTTGTGAAGATCAGGCCAACGCCAGATTCTTGCATATATCACGTGAGGAAATCCTGGAACCAAAAAAATGTGATTGAGTATCAAAATTACAGCCGCCAAGATGTTTGTATATAATATACCAATATAAGTAAAAGACGTTTATTGGGAATAATTTTTATTAATAAATACACAACAGAAAATTATTTTATAAAAATATATCCTCTGAATCTATGGTACTAGTATACAGCAAGGTTGAAAAACAATGGCAATGACAAGAGCATTGGATAACATGTTTCAAATTGAAAAGGATTTGTTAAGGTGCAGTCCGAGATTAATTATATGCTGTGGAAAATATTGACTTTTTGGTATTTTCAGCCCAATGTCATTATAACGTTTTGCCATACATATTACATGAGAATTATACAGCAATTGATAATCCAAATTACCTCCTGTTCATATTCAAGTCATTAGAATTATTCTGATGAGTCACATTTGCAACATTTAATATGAAACTAGGATGAAATTGTCTCTTTCAAAATAGAGACTGACCAAAATGTGTACAGAACGTGACTCTTATCAAATATCTTGAAAGCTACTGGGCTAATTTAAACGACGGTTTGTAAATGACTAATGCTCCGTCGAAGGATTCAACTGATATTGAATTTGATTCAGTCCTTCTCGAGTGCCTACCAATTTTTCAATTATTACTCAGATACGAGACCTATAAATTAGGTGATGAGACTGGCAACACTGGAGGCGCTGGGCTTGTAAGAGAAACAAGGGAACATTTGATCCGCCTTCAGTACACGTTTGAACTCGCTCTAAAAATGAGTGAAATCAATTTCGAGCAACGTGTGCTGTCAGGTTTTGCATCAGACATGGGCACAATACAACGGAAGCTCTAGCTGAACTTCAGCAGGCTTATGGAGATAGTATTTTGTCAAGAGCCCATGTTTTTCGATGGTCAAAGACATTTTCAGAAGAGAGAGGGTCGATTGAAGATAAATCACGAAACGGAAGCCCTCCATCTGTGATTCTTGAGCCTCCTCAATCCCCTGACTTGAGTCCTTGTGACTTTTTTCACTTCCCGAAGTTGAAAAAGTCCCTCAAGGTCATTTTGGGACAGTCAAAAACATTCAATTGAATGAAAAAATTAAAAAATCAGTCTCATCACTTAGTTTACAGACCTCGTATATTGAAAATACATACAAAGTGTATTTTCTGTGGACGGCTCAAATCGCAGTATCTAATTCATAAAATACCAGTGGTGTACTTAGAAAAATCCAAGAAGCCAGAATTATAGTTTATAGTTTAAATTAATGCTGAAAATAACTAGTCTAAGTAGGCAGCAAAATAAAATAATGAAATATTGTAGAAATAAGTTCAAATAATATTATGGTAGCGACATAAATATCAGCAACTTTCTATCGGACAATGAATTGGAACAATAATATAAGAAATTCTATGTGAAAACATTATTCACGTTATACGATTCATTCCTATTGATTTGGGTATCAGAAACCACGTATATTTGCCCATCCTCCTTTCTAGAACAGAAACTATATCCAAAAATAAGAAAAAAAATCTCTAAATATAAATTTGTATTCCCCTGATGAGACTGAATGAGGACAAAACATGGTCATTGCTGAAATAATGCTTTGGCCAGATAGGTTTACCCTCCTTCATAGAATTTTAATTGTCGTACCTCAACAACTTCATCGTACTTTCAAAGTAGAAATGTTTGAAGTCTTTCATACGGATTTCACTTCAAACACAAACCAATTTTTCCCAAAAGGAATAATATGACGATCATTTCTCAAAGTAGGCGATGGATTAAAAATTGATAAACTTATTACAATTGAATTATATTTTTCAAAAGTGGAAATTAAGTTTCCAGTTGTACAAAATTCCATGTTATCTTTGGATCTACTGTCGGCTCCGACACTTTTCTGAATTACCTTGTACATGAAGTTCTGCAAGAGGAGTCTTTGAGATTATTGCAACATTTGCGGCCGTAAAGCTCGATGCTCGTACAAATGGGCTTTGTTCGAGATAAACCTACGCGGCGGACGATGGAATCGTCGAGAGAAATGACAAAGCATCACCAGCATCTTTGTTATAGCTATATATAGCGTTATTTATCATCTGAATCGATCACTGCGGAGAGCGCATAGCTGCTATTAATTGAAACTGTAAAGATTTCAGTTCACGTTTAATAGCCCAGTCACCAAGTAACCGCTAGATGGATGACAATTCTGGGCGTATAGATTGAATAAGCTAGACATGACACTTTCGTCCGTCCGACCAACCTTGGACAGCTGCTGCTACTCATCAGCATGGTCTAGACTTGGTGTCACGTCTCTGGAACAACTAACGAAAGCATCGCATGTTTCGGAAGGCAACATTTTCCGTTTTTTTTTCTTCAAATACGATGCACAAACAGCTCGGTTTAACCACACAGCGTGCGGTAGTTAGGATGGATACTGATCCAATAGCTTGGTTATCTTGAGACTCTGATGTGTGTGAAGTAAGTCAGATAAAATATATTGTCATTGTACCGAAGGTCACCTTTGTGATTGAAACGTTTACAGTATAGATCATGTCAATGTATGTGGTTTAATCCACAGGATAAGATTCAAATGTTACACAACATATCTACTTTCAACTTTTTAATTAGCGCGGACAAAGACGAGTTCTGTATTGAATTGTATTAGGTTTGCCTAACACGAAATGCATCGAAATAAATACAATAGTTCTATCCTTCTGTTCGTGGGCTGTTGTTCAATATGTTGATACAGAAATAACTCTACCTTTACGCCCAGCGACTTGCAATCTCCCATCAAGTGTCCTTTGTATTGTTACACATTTGCTAGGATGTGCCCCACTAGTTGTGATTGCTGTTATAAGTGAGTCAAGTTCATCTCTTTTTTCTTTTAATTTCTTTACCAATGACTCTATAGCTCTTTTAGCAAAACCCTCACTTTCTCCACCTTGTCGGTGGCACATCAAACTGTGTACAATGCTGAGACAAGCATCGGCCGATGATGGGGCGTTTGTTGTTATTCCCGACATCCCTTAAACTGGAAAAGTTAAAATAAAATGATAACATAACATGTTTTGAAATTTTTTTAAATGTCATGCTTATATTTTAGAATAACAAGTAAAGTAACTGTCCAACCATCATATACCACTTATGTCAACTTATGCCAATTCCTTCCATTTTGGTACTTGAATATAATAAGAACCAATCTCCATACTGTGTAATAGATTCTTAGCAACAAGAATATCAATGTCTCAGGCAGATGTTTTTTTAATGTTTTTCAACTTCCTGGTCATACAACAGAGGCTAAAATGTATGAAACTCTGAAAATGCTGCTATGACATGACAGAATTTTTGTGTTTCTTTTTTTTATACTTCTAGAATTCATTTTGGTGCAGCTAGCTCACACAAAAGTTTCAGAATTTGTATAACATATTTTCAACTTTCTGGCCACACACAAGAAGTAGAAATTTATGAAACTAGGAAAATGACAAGTCGCAGATATAACAGTTAGAATTTTTTGGGTAATTTGGCAATTTATAAGTCATTTTGGTGCAGATAAGTCACACAAAAGACTCAGAATTTTGTACAAAATGTTTATAAGATCTTGAATAATATACTTTTAGTATTACAAGAAGCAAAAGCAGTCTTACTGTGACTTAGAAATGATCAATATCCCATTTTGAACTTGTAGAAGGTAGGTTGAAATCCACCTTATTTAACAAAATGTTTGATTATGCATACATTAAGTTTAAATATCTTCATTTACATCTAAACCAAATTGATAAAACATGAATTAGCAAGTATAAAAAGAAACCTTCAGTCTCAACACTTTTATTGAATTTTAGCAATTTCAAGTATTTTTTGATCTTTAATTTTGAAATTTCTTTTCACAATATCTTTATTTTTTTAGACTAGAATGAATAAGCTTAAAAACAGGCAGTGGCTTATTTTACTGTGTAGAGCCTGTAAGATTTCTCAAAATAATTAATCCAAAATGCTTAAAATGGCTAAAATTCAATAAAAATACCAGGATCAAAGGTACCGTCTAGATGTTTGATATTTATTGATCAATTTATCGCAGACTGAGACAGAGATACCGGCACCTAATATAAATATATATGTATCATAAAATGGCCTAAATCAAAACTTTCAATTTTCATGAATATGATACAAAACAGGCTGATCATTGCACACCTTTTTTCAGTGGCTAAAAAGCAAAAAATAAATATATTTTTAAGAGAATGGAGAACTCATGAGAACATTGATATTATTGTAATCAAAAGTCCACAAGAATTTTGAAGAGCACATTATTATGATGGTAAAGTTTGAAGAGATTCAGATATTTTGACCAATTAGTTTGGCAGGCAGTCGACAGAATTTCATGAGTAACACTGAGAAAAAATACTACTAAATAATATCACCTAAGGAATTCCTTGAATCATAACTGAAATTTCTGAGTATGGCATTAAAGCCAACAAATAATTCACAAATTATGTGTTTGAAAGTTAAAATGACTTGCACAAAATCATTGATAGAGCGGTAAATTTAGCAAGCCAATGCTTCTAAATTTATATAGTTAATATAAATTTCATAGGATGTTTCCTCAGGTATTTTCATTAATTTATACACAACACCTAAAATGTCCCATTATCAAGATGCAGTGTGTTTTAAAACATAAATATTGTTCAAATAACCCAATACTGAAATGAAAATAGTTCACTGAAAATCAGTTTCAGCTCCATAGCTGAATGTTTAAAACAGTTTTTGAATTATTTGGAATGTTTCTACATTGACATGTGCAAACAAGCTTTTTTTAAACATAAATAAATGAGTACGAATAACTTCAGCATATTTTCAAAATAGGAGGAATTCAAGTTTATATATAGGTTCTTCCAAAAATATTCAAACCAATCTTTATCCAAATGGAACAGACTGAAAAGTATATACGAGATCTATTTGCATGAAATTTATTAAAAAATGCAATTAATGTTTAAAAAAAACATCATAGAGATTACCTTTTTTTTTGCATCAGTAGCAGTCAAATTACAATTCATATGTGAATGTAAGTCGAAAGTCAACATCTTAATCCATAAGATCCAAGATAAAACTCTATTGATTTGGAAATTATAACTTCAACACCTTGCATCTCATTAAGGGCACATTTTACACACCACACACACAAGTGTTTTAACTTGTATTAGAGGCAATCCTTTTCGAATGTATTTCTTTAAAGAATTACCTATAACAGTCCACACAATTGTGTTTAAAATACTATATTAAGTTAGTTCTATCAACAAATTAATACAACAAAGCTGCTATTGTTATGATTTTGATGAAGGAACCTTATTCAGAACTTACAATAATTTGAGTCTTGATTTCAATTGACAACACAAAGAAAACCTGTCATGAATGCAATGTGAGATATAAATAAAAGGCTTTTTGCATTCAGAAAACGAGCTATTGCCATAATAATCACTTTATGGTCTTTTTTGCAATATCTATGCAGAACAACGCTAAAAATGTAATACAAATAATAATATAATAAAGGTATTGCTAAAATGAGACGTGACATAACCTTGTAGTGTATCTTTGATTATAATTGGTTTATAGCCGATATATAGTAAATTTGTTATGGCTACATATCGCATTTGAAAAATATAACAAAAATGTTCTTCCAGGTTCCCCCACCACAGATGTATCAAAAAGTGTCGCTATTCTACGATCCAATCAATAACCACAACTCACAATACAACTAATAAATTGCTCCTAGGTTTTTCTATCGTGTCATTGATCTCATATGGGTACAACACATTTTTTCTCTTAGGGCCTCACCATGACTTTTCCCCACTTGATTATTCCAAAAATAATAAGTGCCTTCCTTCTTCCTTCACATCACAGAGTCACCATCGTCACCATCACAAAACAATATTCTCGGGAAACGTCAAATTATCAAATAGACGCCATCTTGCACGCGTAGATCCCGCTAGATAAATAAACATCTAACTAGTCGTCAACAGAGGGCAAAGGGAAATCTTGGGGAAGAAACCTGTGCCAGAAATTGAGAAGAGTGTTGCAACGTTGCCAGGTGAATTCATTTCCAAACATCTTTATTAGTCTGATATCATTATAGTTAGACTTAAAGAAAAGAAGCGTCACTGGAGAAAAACCTGCGAGAAAACTTTTGAAGTTTGGAATTCCTAGAAATCGGCCTTTTTTCAGAAGCTTGGCCTTTGCAGAAGGATTGCTTTGACCAAATGGGTCCCAGACTTTCTTGGTTTATACAGGGAATTGAGAGCAGGGTTTGACGCACATTAAAATTAACACATACACCCTATTTCACGAGTATCGATCACGGTAGAATGACAGTTGATTAACTAGTCATATCTCAAAATTCCCCATATCGGCACAGGACACATAACGGACGGATCCGTCAACGTCAGGTAGTCAGAGCCGTATTTTGTTTTGTTTTTTTGTACGCTACAGATTCATTTTGTACTTGCTAACAGCTCTTTTACTTAGAAAAGTTCATTTGCTTACAAAAAACAAAACGCTATAAACAAGTTTGGCTAGATTTACACCCGATTCATTATTGCCAACATCGCAGACTAACACAAAAATGTATTAGGCCGTTTACAGCTTAGATAAAATTCGATAAACAACATATTATGAAAAATACTATTGCAGCTAGCGCGTCATATAAGGCGTATTTTTTAATTCACCGGTTGAGCCACAATTTTACTTCTTTTAATTTCCGTCTGAGCGACCGGTTGTACACCAAACTTTTCTAATTCGTTGCACCGGTGGCTCAACCGGTGAATTAAAAATACGCCTTTTATCATCTATAAGCATTTTTTCGCGATTCCACGGTCTAGCACAGTGCACTACCGGGAACCGATACTCAAATTTTCGCGAATAACGGGAATAGGGGATGACGGATATGACGTCATCCAAATGTCAAAAAATCACGTGGTACGGGTAATCGCCTAACGTTTGTGAGGTACTAGCGGGTAAAGGTCTATTCATACTCAGCCGTGAAGTGACAGTGCTGTGACCGGCACGTAATCCGCCCAGCGAAACTGAAAACATTCTTCTCTGAATTTGGATGAACTGATTCACACTAGACCAGCACGTGGAAGTGGCCGTGTTCTCAGTGCCCTCGACGACGTCGGACCGTGATCATCGCATTGTTTTGGACCGATATTATTCGATTTTTACGGCGGTGCTTTTATGTAATTTCGTTTTGATATATTTGATCAAAGACATGAATGATGAAAAACTAATTGAATTTGTGCGCGCACATCTTGTGCTGTAGAACCACTCAAATTCAAAATACATGGACTTCCGTTTTATTCTCGTTTCTTCTTCAAATTTTGCCATTTCGACCTCACGTGAACACAACTGCACGGAGAAAAATACTGACCGGTGTGAATTGAAAATACTGTGAGCTCACGTCAGCTAGAATCACTGGCACGTCACGTCACGACTGAGTGTGAATGCACCTTTACAGGTCTTATGTCAATGTCATTTAAAATACAGACATGTCAATTGAAAATTTGTCTTCCCAGTGTCGAAAAATGACCTAAATGATTAAATCATAAATGGAGAAACACGTCCACCTGATTTTAAATGACGAGGGAGAAGGTCATCGAAGATATAGGAACCGCATTTGTCATATCAAATGCTTGATTTTTATTAATATATGTATGTGTACATTGCACAATACTTAGAAATATGTAAATAAAGATTGGAAAACTGCCGCATTAACTTTCTAAATGATTCCGTCATTACCCCGGGATAGACATACGTTTTGAAAGTTGATCTTGTCATTCTTGTCACCGGAATTGCGGCATTGCCAGCTCATCGGACGATTTTGCTACCCCTGCCATCACCAATTCGTTGGACCTTTTGTTCTAGGCCTTGCTAACTGCTAAAACGTATGTACGGGGTAACGACGTGGTCATATAGTACGTTAAAGCGGCAGTTTTCCAATCTTCATTTGCATTTTTTAAGCGGTGTGCAACGACTTCGAGAAAAATTTCGCTACGGATAGTCTTCTAGAGTATATTTCAATACTTGTCTTGCGTGGCCATGTTATCTTTAGTCGGACCAATTCAGATCTTAAAGCTAAGATGCCCCATCTAACTACTCCCGCTGTAACTGGAAAGAGTCAAAACTTCGAGAGGAAGGGCATATTCCATCTATTCCCGCTCCTGTTCACAACGGGATCTCGCGAAAAAATCGTCGCTCATTGATGTGATCCACCTGTCGTTCCATCTTCGTTGTTACTGCATAACCTCGGTAACCACCAAATCGATTTCAACATAACTTCTATAATATACAATGGTCATAAGTTTAAAACCGAGTTTAAGGGCTCTCAATTTAGTTACTAAAAGTGGAAATGGAACCTCCAAAGCAGGACAACACTCCCCTACGAGCGCTAGATGGATATGCTTTGGAGGTTTCACTTCTAAATATACTCTACTACATTCTGTAGTTCAAATCACAAAGGGATTATGTGTTATATAAAAAACTACTTTGAAATTGCACATATCTATTATGTCACTTAATGAAATATATATATACAGCAATGAGAAAGTATGATTCAGTGTTACATTCTTGAATGCCTAATATATAACATTTTATAAATTGAATGTATTGCGGTTTGCTAATATCAATATGTTATTTGTAATGTTATTCTTAAATAATTAAGAAACATTTTCAGGCTGATTATAAGTACATAATAAAATATGTGTTCTATAAGCTGTTCTATTTTAGAATACCTTAAGGTTATATTGATGAAATCATGCAAAAACGATCTGTCCCTAGCAGAAAGGTCGGCAATACGAGGCTTAGTCAGTAAATACCCATTTTAACGACAGATGGCATTCCTGAGGGAAGTTGGTGTTATCATCGTGTGCTGCCATCTATCAAACGCCGGCACAACAAATTTCAGACTGATTATTGCTAAGATGAAAAAACAGCAGTTTGACCACAGTTAGATATTGGTTCAACAAATTTAAACGTGGACAAACATAAGTTTTTGATGACGAGCGACCAGGAGGCCCGGCAGACGTGGTTACCGAGGAAATCATTCAAAAAGTCCACGATATGATTTTCGCTTATCGACGAACGAAATTGCGCGAAGTAGCAGAGGCCGAAGGTGTGTCGACCGGATCGGCAATGAATATTTTACATGATAGGTTGGAGATGAAAAAATTGTCGACCCGATGGGTGCCACGATTGCTCACGAAGCAGTGTCTGGAGCAATTTAAGCGAAATCCGATTGAGTTTTTGCGTCGAGTTGTTACCGTCGACGAAACCTGGATTCATTATTACACATCCGAAACTAAGCAACGATCAAAACAATGAAATCTGCTCCAAAAAAGGCGGAGACGGTCCAATCGGCCAGAAAGGTCATGGCGATGATTTTTTTGCGATGCGAACGGTGTCATCCTCATGGATTTTTTAGAAAAAGGAAGACGATCACTGGACGATACTACGCGTCATTGGGCCGCTTCGATAAAAATTGAAGGAGACACGGCTACATTTGATGAAAAAGGTACTGTTTCACCACGATAATGCACCAGCACATTCATCCGGAGTTGTCGCCGCCAAACTGAAAGAATTGCGCGCGTCCCGTATTCACCCGATCTGGCCCTTGCGACCTTTTCTTGTTTCTTTACATGAAGAAATGGCTCGCGGAAAAAAATTAGTTCAAACGAGGAAGTCGTCGCCGAGACAGGTGTATTTTGGAGAGCTCGCCAAATCCAACTCGGGTACTTACTGAGCCGCCTTCGTATAAGAGATTTGTTTGAACAAACCTTGCTATTCCACAATAGAAAACATACAGGAAATATTTAAGCGCCAATTCAGACCGTAAAAATCATAGTGCAACAACATTCGTCATTAAGCGATCAATAGTATTTAATGTACCAAGTATCCTGCAAAGCAAGACACTCGATACACAAATTTGAGAGTCGGGTACCAAATGACGTCGTGTATCGGTACCTTCAGAAAACCGTACTGAAGTTTTTAAGTGTTCAACAAAAAAGAGAAATATATGCAATAGTAAACAGATTTAAATTCCTAGGAACAGTCTTGCATTAAAGAAATATCTATCAATGATATATTCCCAATAGATAGCACAAATTCTATAGACACGTTTCTATATATAGCTAATAAAAAATCGAACTTATCCTACTGCTACTGTTAGATAAAATGATCGATCGTTCTGTATGGATGAAAACCGCCATAAACATTTTCCAAATTAAAAAATCGGCAGTTACTATGTCACGGAACACATATGTATTTTCAACAATCTACATATATCAGGGCTACCAACATTCCAGAGCATCAATGTTGTTTAGAGAATGTTTCCGGTCTCTCGTTTATTACAGAAATTGCAAATAGGCCACGTCATGACCTATTATATTTATGTCAAATTTTTTATCGCTTTCGACATTTTCAGTATTTTTTTTTTAGAAATTAGCTTGCATTCAGTTAATCCGCTCCCATTTCTATAAATAATATTTTCGACTTAGTTTGTTTCAAAACACTAATAATTTAAGCATCTCATCCCACCCAGTATTACTTTTTTTAAACGGCAATATTCGATAAAAAAACTTGGACCAGCCTCCAGCATGCTAGTGGTTATTCTGGCAGGCTAAGACTATGTAGGTCATGTATAACAGTAAAGGTTTACATTGATAAATTTGAGCACCAATCGTGCCATTTTTTGTGTCCAAAATGTCATATTTCATATTTGCGAAAACTCCCATTGCAACCGCAATTAAGCCCCCCCTAATCAAACCAGAGACTTTGTACCCACACTCTCTAATATTGCAAAAATGTTCTCAAAATGTTGTTAGCCTCAGAGTAGCATCAAATAATTGTGAAATAAAATAATATATTTTGGTGTAAACAATGAAAAAACCGTCTTCTAATATTTAATTGTAAAATTCTTAGTATAATCGTTTTTCAAGCTTTGATACAAATTCGTGCAATGATGTTCTAATTGGTTACAATATTCCGGCAAAGATAAGTTTCAGCTAAGCTAAATCTACCATTTCATTATAAAAATGGAAGGTCTATTACAGGAAAAATAAACCTTTTCAGTTACAAGCTTACATGGGTGGATCAAAAATAAAGACAAGAATCCAGAAAAAAATAAAAGGTATTTTTTTGAAATACAATAATTCAACGTTCTTGTTTATCATTGATCCACCTTTGTATGGTACACATCCTCAACGCTCATGTCTTTGCTAGAAATTCAATAAATTGGTGGTCATTAAAGTGACATGAAAACGTATTCGGGACATACGTAAAAATTAAACTAACCTTCTATAAAGTTGCTTATTCACCACCACCACAAATTTAAATCTTGTTATAAAAGACTTTAGTGTGCCTATAAATAAAATATCACATAATATTAAATAAATGTTTCCACATAAACGTTTAGGGTGTAACAGGATTGTGCAAGGGCCATGACAACACCAGATCAACAATTCTTTTTAAATCATTTTCAGATTCGAGTGGAAAAGACATTCTTTTCATTTTGCGTGATTTTTTTAACTAGATCCCAGTTAGAGGAGGCAAAACCTCACATTTTCTGATTCAATTTGTTATTTCTACATTTTGTTGCATACCCCTTAGTATGAATCAAGAGGTAGTCAGGCGGTGTAATCCCGTGAAAAGTTTAAGCTTTTTTCTGTAAAAATAAAAAAAATATTTTTTCGCGCCGAATGTTATCCTTTAATGAATTTTCTCTAAAGTAGACCATCTTCATTATATGTAGAAAATTTTAACCAAGTTTTCAAGCGATGAACATGGTTATTTTAGGGGTTTAAGACTAAATTGCTTATACCTCGAAATCGGTCAACCTTAGAGAAAAGTAACTAAGATCTTTTTTTGTTCAGAAGAGATGTAAAAACATCGGAGAGGTAAATACTTTTTGTAATTTGTTTAAAGAAAGATTTAAACACATTTGTAACTCGATACCATCCGGCAAACAAACGTAATAATGGAGAAGTATCGGAAAAGTCGGATAGTTTATCCCACGGATGCGAGGTTTTCGCCTTACCTCTGAGGAGAAGATGGATGTATGCATTTCGAACAGTTCAAGAAGCTTGATATGTAATTTTTGCAGAGAAAATACCCTACTTTTTTTTACCTCCAGTTTATCAAAGCTAGACTTTGGATTTTTGCCCAATGTTTCGGTAACATCCTGTATCTGGTATTTGAGTCACAAATGATATATGTTGCATAACCCTAATACAATCCTATAACATAAAACTAATATAATAAACCATGGAAAATCAACAATGCTATAAATAAAATAGGTATATTATGTATATATTAACAATGTGACCAACACAAACAATCCGCCGTATTGGATTGATTTTCAGCGGAGATCAGGGCTCTCGTTCAACTGCTTCTTGATACGTAATAGTATTGTCGTATACCATTGGTCAAGACGCGAAATGGAATCGTAGTCTTTAACAGCGTCTGTGAACCCATCCAGGTTCTGTTCTTCTATGTGCTCTATCAGGGTTCTTAGCAGCTTGTATTCCCTAGAGTCTTGAAAAGCTGGATACATCTGGACGTAGCGTTCCAAAGCGTGCTGAGCATTTAAAACGTCTACACACAGATGACACAGGGCAGCTCTAAACAGATATTCCTTAGCGCTATACTTTAAAAGGGAACTTTCTAAAGCTGAAGAGGCAACTTCTTGGTATATTTGTATTGCTTTTTCGTAGTTTTCGAGTTGAGCAGCATATTGGGCTACTTTCAGCAAGCATTTGTTAGCTGATGAGTTACTTTCTTCGCCTCTGAAGAAGTCAGCAGCTTGTTCATAGTGTGAGACAGCTTTTTCGTAATCCACAGCCTCGGTTTCGTACATTTCGGCGATTGTTTGATGATGCTTAGCTGCCATTGTGAACCTACCCATGTCTGTGTATATGTCAATGGCTTTCAACAGACATTTTACTGCCTCTGAAATCATAAGGCAAACAAGTACAGTAAAATACTACAAAAACATTGTTAAGATAGTAAGGGTGTCACAGTGAGGACAGTCAATTTTGAAACGTGTACTGAAAAGTATTGCAGTTCAGAAAATTTTCCTCTCTTCTCTTAGACACTCTAAATGATTAAGATTTTGGGAATTTTTAAAATTCACTATCGATTGTCGAAACAGGATGACAGTTTATTAGGGGGTTTTTCATCATTGAAAAAACCCTTGTGGCCAGTTCTTATATAAGCGGATTGTTTTCATGTAATTTTCATAATGCACAGTGTAATGTGTAATTCTACAAAAGCAATATTGAACCATTGCACTATTCTCGTCGAAGTAATAAAGGCTTGCTCATCATGCATGAATGCCTTATCAAAATGAACTGCCTCATACTTGTAAATCTCTGCAATGAATTGATGGTACTTGACTGCAAGAGTTAATGTACCCAGATCAGACCAGAGGTCGATGGCTCTCAAAAACATATTACCGCCTTTGGAAAAATAAAACGCCAGATAACACCACAAAATATGATTGCCCAAAGGTTGCTATTCTCTCACGGGAAAGAGGTAATGGTTACACACTGAGTTTAACACATTTTGATGCAAAGAACATTTCAAAATAGCTCTTAACTCAACATAGAGTTTTTCAAAGTTTTTGATCACTTTTAAGATAACAAAATAAAGGCAAATACAGGGTGTCCGCAAAGTTGGGGTTTTTCTTTACACGACGTGTAGATCTTGAAAACATAAGCAATTTTTCTTAGTACCATATACACCAATGTCTTAAGGAAACCGAGATAAAGGGCTCTGCAACATCAAAAATATCTGAATACCGTCCTGTAGCCGCGACATCACCGATTGGTACAAGGTCACTGGCTCAACCCGACGACAGAACTGGGTCGGGGTCAGTGTGTCAGGTCAGTATGCAACCTTCAACCGACGGTAACGGTCACGCGTGTAGAGGTAATCGCGTAGACCAGAATCCCTCAACAAGCACTAGAGACGTGGCTAGAGAAGTGCAAGTATCAAAAACTAAAGTGTGGCAAACGCTGCGTGAAGAGGGGCTGTATCCGTTTCACGTCCAACGTGTACAAGCCCTTCAACCTGACGATTTTCCAGCAAGAGTGCGGTTTTGTGAGTGGTTGTTGCATCAACATGACAATAATCCGGACTTTTTGAAGTGCATATTGGTGACAGACGAATCTACGTTCACGCGTAATGGGGTGAATAACTTTCGCAACACTCATGTTTGGTCAGTAGAAAATCCGCACGCTGTCCGTCGGGCACATTTTCAACAAACATTTTCGGTGAATGTTTGGACTGGCATGGTGCGTCTGCTCGATAGAGCATCAGCTGATTTCATTTTCTGTTGGAGCGGTATGATTTCGGGCAGAGACGTACTTAGCCCTTCTCGTCAACTGGAGAGTGGGTACTTTTTCCTTTATTTTTTTACTTGGTCGCCCTCGTTTCATTACACATTCCTTTTGTTATTTCAAGGGTAGTTGTTTCTGAAAAGGAAAACCCCAACTTTGCGGACACCCTGTATTTAACCAAAATTACAAAATGCTTCAGTTCCTTTTCCAATGTAATAATGATTTCAAGGCCAAACTAAAAAAATTATTCAAATTGCTGAAGTTTGATAGAGGAGAAAAAATACAAGACAATCTTATTATATAAAGCTCAAAAAGTGGAAATGTGAAACATGTTGATTCTAGTTTCCTGAGATTATGGTACTGTCACATTATGTTGGAGACTTTGGAAAGCCCAAAGATAAGATGTAGACATTGTCCTTGTTATGGCTAGTTTCAAAAAGTCTAAGGTGTCTAACTTGGAATTGAACAATTTAGTGGGCCTTTTAAAATAGTGCTTAGTTACATACAACAAATATATTGCCAAAATTAATGTATGTGTTTGCTGAATGTCTAATCAGTTTACAGCACATTCCAACAAAACTTTTCTGCTGTTATGAATTCCAACAGGTGGTCAACAAATTTCTTAATGGAGAAAAGTTAATGTGAGTGAGGAGTAGCATGTTTCTTTAATCATACTTGGACAACTTATGTGAGGGTAAAATATGTAGAAAGCTGTTCTTATTTTTGTCATTTTTGGGCTGTTGGAAATTTTGAATACAGATAGGAATTTATGGAACATTTTATTAATCATACTATTTTTTAGAGCATAATTTGGTTTTTGGTTTCTTGGATTTACCTTGTGGTTCACACTTTTCAATGAGACTGAATTGAAGAATGTTAGGAGCGTTTTGTGAAATCCCAATGCCTCATATCTGAATGAAAGTGAGATTTCCAAATTTAATTAGACAGCTAAATATTATACTGCATTGTTTTTGATCTCACCATTAATGTCAGCCTTCTTATAGCAGTTGGCGGCATCAACATAATTGGTAGCAGCATCATGTCTGACACCACTGCGCAAATGCAAGTTGGCAGCTTCACAGAAGGCACTGCCAGCTGCTTGCCAGTTCTTGGCCATTTTGAACAGGTTGGCAGCCCTCTGATAACACTCAACTGCATCTTCAATGCGACTTGAGCCACTAAAAAGTATAAAAATATAAGTAGATGGTAGACATTTATGAGAGCTCTTCCATGTCAATGATTTGTTAAATAGTGGCATATAGTTTACAATAAAAAACTGTGATATGTTTAGCCTTTAGTAGATACTTAACAATGAACGTGAAATAAGATGATATGGGAGTAAGATAATTTGGCAGCGATAGTAAAATAGGTATGATTTGTAGGTTATGATCATGACACAAGCCTTGTTACAGAGGTAAAAAAGATAACATATTTGCTAAAAGCATGAAGTGAACAGAAAGTTATCTACTATTATCTAACAACAAAAGAAAGATGCAACATCAAAAGACTTCAAAGTGAATGTCTTCTTGATATAGGAAATGTTTCAGAGCAAGCAAAATTCTTAAGAATTTGTGTCAATGATTTCCAGGATTGGTCAAGCCGTATCACCTCACTAATTGATCAAAATGAGTTTGCTATTGATTTAAAGAATATACTATAGGGTAGCAATGGTCAAATAATATTGCACAAAAGTATCTTAGACCTCTTAGGATCAATGTTCTTAAAAGGTTATAGGGAGTCTTCAAATCCTTTGGAATTTTGGCAACATAAGGAACATGGTGCATATTTATATGAGGGAGTAATATTATTCATCAAAAACAGAAAATGGACATTATTAGAACATTATAGGTGTCCAAAATTTGTTATTAGTGAAGGAATTTTTAAGGAAAAGATCTAAGACCTTGTACTCAGGTCAAGGATATATTAAATACTGGCTGACAGATTGTGTGATGCACTGGCATTATACCATTTCATAGTGTTTAAATGTTTTTTTATTTCTGCAGGAAACATACCATCTTAATGATTTAAAATTAGGACTGTTATTGTTCCCACATGGTTCTTTAGCATTCCATATAACTGCTATGTCTCAAACATGAACTACACGATGGTACAACAAACCTGATCTTTGTTAAAACATTTTCCTAATAAATTTGCTTCCACATATTTTATCACCCTAGTTTATATCTCCAACTAATAAACAAGTATAGCAATACAAGCAGCTACATGTAGATATGATGAGTCAGATAAATGTTATGTTCTGGTTTACAGACTAAATTAATTGTTTTACACCATACATAGTTATAGTGAACCATGCATTAAAGTATATTGTAAAATATTGGATACTAGGCTTACTTAGGATGCAGAGTAAATGTATTATATTGCTCTAAATTCAAGTATTTGAACAAAATATGGGATGTTGTCACCCACAGCAATAAACAATTAAAAATTGTATTCTCACATACCCAAAGAGTGACCCGAAGAATCCTTTTGAGTTCACCTTCTTCTCAGCTTCAGCAACGAGTTGCTGAGCTTTCTGCTCGTTCGTTGACATGTTTTTCAGGAAATTATTTACAAATTTTCCAAAACCTTTATCCTCAGACTGCTATTGACAAATTAATTACACAGGTTATGGCAGATGGCGTCACGCGTTCTGCGCTGTCAGCACGTCAGGTCAGACAATGTTGCCGATGTGAGGCAAAAATCTGAAAATAACCCAGAGAAATCACAACCGTGAATACCTCGTGTACATATATATATTTTGTGTGAATACCCTATCACAGAACACCTGATACATATTAATTGATACTACTGTCGTGTGTCCTACCAATCTTTATGCAATCACCAGCACAGGTTTCTAATAAGTAGGACAACGAATTTATTATCATTTTCCAATTTCGAGAAGGCCATTATCTGCTATATCACAAGCATCGGCGTCATCTACCGATTTTGGTGATAGATGGTCTTGTGCTGTTGTATTTCGATAGCAAGGCGATAAGTTGCTAACCGCATAATAGATGGCATCGACGCTAGGGGAATTTGTCCGAATGAGTGTAGTTCTCACGTAAACCTATTTTACAAAGATAGGCAACCACTTTTCCTTCATTGTTATCACAAATCGCAGTACGTCACAGAAACAATATTAGTAATGTTCGTTCGCTTTTGCGTATTTTGTGTATATATAACATGTAAAACGTATGCAAAATGCCTGAAACTAATTAATCATAATCTTAACAGAATGAACATGTGAATCCTCACATTTAAATGCCTAATATAACTGACAAACCTAAAATAGGGTCGATGATTCTTTTTATATTATCTAGATATACAAATTTTCATTCATGAGTGAAGTACCTACGATTTTTTTTCATCTTGTACGCCTGAAGTCTATAACTATAGGTACATGAGTGTTTTTCAAAAATGCTCCCCTGGAGGATCATGTGTCGTTGTGAAGTTTATTACCGGTACTTTATAGCAGTAGATTATCAATTTACTGCATTTAAAATGGCGGGCTGTCGAAGGGTTTTTATAAATTGAATCACTCGTACCAAGGTCTAATTTAAAAAAGTATATTTTTGATTTTTAATACGAAACGGTGAAAACACTATCGGTCATGCTGTGACGTCATACAAATTGTAAACAAAGAAACACCATTTGTCTGTCACTCGTGGACTAAAGTTGTCTTCTTCAGCTATTTCTGAAAAACTCCTAATTTACGTAGAAAAATAACGTTTTCTCGTTTTAATGAAAAGAAAAAATAAGTAACACACTTACATAATCTTTCTTTTTAGAAGTCATTCAAAACTAAGCTCATTAATCATAATATATACCTAATATTGTATTTCTTCTTACACATATGCATGGGAATCGTACGGCGACGATGCTTAAACGAGACGATAAAATCTGCACAGTAAGATGTAAAATATGTCCCGAACAAAAGGTATGCTTCAAGCAATTCACAGTGTTGTGTACTCGTATATTTATTTCCCTGGGCACTCTAATCCACAACTTTCCTGGGGTATTTATCGACGTGTTTTTACATTCTCGCACAATACGATAACGATAATTACTATATGTTTTTATGTAAGCTAGTAGAAGTCATGTTTATATGCTTAAAAGTTTAAGAGATTATGCTGCTGTTTACAAATGGTATGACGTCAGCACACATTAATATGGACCAAACATGGCGGACAGCGTTTAAGAAAAATTTATTATTAAAATTAAGGCTCTACGGTCTTAGAAAAATGTAGTATTATTTTCTCTGGTTTAAGACAACAAATATTAACAAATTCAAAACCTAGTTAAAAAAGTCTCACCCAGCCTACTGTACTTTTTTAGATTCGTTCTTGAAATCATCAGCAGAAGGAGAACTGTATCTATGTCGTGGCCATATCGTAATTTCATTTTTAGGATATACGTCGAATAAAGCAGAGTAAGGGTGACCATGCGAGGTCATAACTAAATTTGTTAATATGTTCAAAAATTTTATTTGTGACTGATTGTGCAATTAAACATGTTTTAATATAATTATTTTATTTTAATTACTTAAAGTTACCAGTTTTTATCAAAAGGATTATCTTATTAGTTAAATAACAATAAACAAGTTCGTTACATATTCTGGATTTTTATGAAATATTCCATGGACATCCTATTTTACGATATGATCAATATGATAAATTGTGGATGGCCAAACGTTGACAATTTAACGATGTTTGGTTGGCCATTTCATGAAATGCGACCATTTCATGATTTTTTTTATACCGAAGCAGCAGCGCAGGCACAAGCCTAAATGCCGGGACACCGCGGTTGCTACGAGGATCCCAAAGAATTTTTTTTATCCGATTTTTGAACTGCCTAAGGTTAGTAGAACTGGGAAAAGCTTCCTCTTGTAGATTGTTCCACAATCTCGACACCCTCAGGACAAAGGAGCGGTCGTATCGGCCAGTTCTGGATGTACGAAGTTCGACACGGTTGGGATGGCAGGACAAAGTCCGACGGGTCTGTCTTGCAGGCACATCGCGCGGCGGCCAGGTGGAGAACGTAGCATTTCGAGAGATTTAAAGGCAGGAGCCAAAGTTCTGATCAGCTTGAGGTCTTCTTGAAGCACAGGTGAGTTCATGGCAGTGTTATAGACTTTAGTATCATCTGCATAGATGGAACACAGAAGAAAGTTGGGTGGGAAGGTCGCTTGTATAAAGAAGAAAAAGTATTGGCCCTAGCACTGATCCTTGTGGAACTCCACTAGTAACACGATGGCTAGAAGAATAGGCGTCTCCAACACGGACGGAGAAAGATCTATCTAACAAAAAAGCTTCAATCCATAACAACAAATTTCCTCTGATTCCGAGATGTTCAAGCTTGTGCAGGAGCCTTTTATGCGGAACTCTGGAAAAATCCAGATAAACCACGTCGACCGGTTCATTTGCATCTAAAGATCTGGTCAAATTGTCGATGCAGTGTAACATGTTGGTGATAATTGATCTACCAGGAATAAAACCATGTTGGTTGCTAGGCAGCAGGTTGTTCTTGAACGCAAATGTCATAAGTTGTTCTTGGACGATCTTTTCGGCTATTTTCTTAGCTATAGGCACAAGACTGATAGGACGGTAGTTTTTCGCAGATGTTTTATCTCCTTTTTTTGTATATGGGTGTCACAGATGCAGTACGCCGACAGGAAGGAAGGATGTGATTTTGAAACGAACCGTCCAGCCATAAAAGCTCTCTATTGTTGTTGTCTGAACACCAAAATGTTGGCTTAATGTTGTGTGGAATCCAAATTTGCTTTCTGCAACACATTTGCTCTAAAATGAGGTGTTTAAAATATTCGTATAGCATAGTTATACAACATCTTATAGGGCAAGTTTTTAACTGTTGCATAAACGTTTATACAACTATTTTATACGGCATATTTGTACGTTAGTCAAAATGGTTGTGTTGTGGCATCCATGGTAACGTTTATAAAACAAACCCGAGCCTTGTTATTTTGCTGTGCAATTTACTACTTTAGCCAACAAATTGCTCCCAACGGAAGCACTTATACAACTGTTGTTTAGTAACTGTTAAAGGCTGTACATATGCTAAATATGTTGGTAAACAACTTCACCATAACCTAACTTTCTGCTGTCATATTTTTGTTAAAATGCCATAACCAATGTTTTAAGACAAACAACGTATGCATATTGGTTCAAAAGGTTTTATCAACTGTTCAAACAGAAGATATAGATCTGGTACAAATTCTGGGTATATCATTCGACTATGTCGGTATTTCATTTCAGACATTTGTCAAATTGTTGTATAACACCTGCAGGCAACACCAATATATTCTAATAAACTAAAGACAACATGGACGATGCCATGATTATACACAACCACCCGCCATATTGGGCAAACATGTATTCCTCTGTTTAATATTAAATAATTATGTTTCAGTTCGAAATTACAGATATAAAGTGATAAACATTAGTGTAATAGTGTCTAAACATAGGATTTGTGGAAGATTTAACGCAGATAAGTTCAGTTTTCCATCTTAAAGGTCTAGGCATACTTTTGATCATTATCAAAATATGAATCAAATATGAAGCCCGTAGAAATAGTGTAACTAATTAGCACGATATGGCCGATATGTAAGTAAACAAGATGACTGTAATGTGTTAGTTATATATTCTTCACTTCGTCTATACAATACATAAGAAATATTTTGGTTGCAATAAAGTAGAATCACGTAACAGAATAGTTGTATAGTTGACAAACACTGAATCTTGCACTGACGCAAATGTCCTATAGCGGTTGCAAGAGGCTTACACTTTTGATGTAGCCCTTACACAACCTCTTAAATGACTGATGTGTCCTATTAGGTGTGCCCATTCCGCTTGTATAGGTGTTCTAAGAGGGTTTTGCCAATGTTCTTACAGTATACAATGCTGTGTAAGGAATACTGTGTAATAATTATTGCAACTCTAATAAGAGTGATAATTGCTAGTTGGGTACTTTATAACGGCAGACGTAATCCTATCCTTTCCAGGGGACGAATAAGTTATCAGTTTAGTAAGGTGGCTCTCAATGTCCTGAGGTTGAAAATGTATGTTACAGATGGTAGCTAGGCATCTATGAGGGCTGGACAAGTTCGTAAGAGTTCCATCACCATCAGGCTCATTCACAAAATCTTCACTAAACGCATCGGTAAGAAGATTGGCAGATTTTTCGGCATCAGTATCAGATAATTGCGTCCTCAACCAGTGATAACCTCCAGAACTCGCGTCAGAGAGGACGGTGTCGCTATAGTCTTCTTTTTTCCAGCGATCGGCTTGTCGCTCTAAATTCCTGCATGTAGAGTGCTGTCACCAAAAACGCCATTTCGTCTCATGAAATGGTCAATTCTAGCGATATGGCCACGACATCTACGTGAGGCTCGAATCACCCTATATACAGGCTGGAAGATATCACGCCCACGGGAAAGCTCGTCTTGTTAAACGTACGATTTTCATAAGATTTATTTAGATCATCGAACCAGAATACCCTGTGTAGTAACTTTGGATCGCTCCACGTGTAGGTATTATATTTAGTATCACTTCAGAGTACCAGGTCAGTTAGCGAATTACATTGACGCACGGCGCTTTTCGAAATAATTACGAATTTTACGCCGATACGAAACATTCTCTTGGTCACAACTGCTCATTTTCGGACTATAGCTTGTAAAACAAATGCTTGTGAATAGTGGTGAATGTGTTTGTGTTGTGACTAAACTGTTGGATATGCATTCCTTTACCGGGTAAGATGTTTTTTTATACCGAAGCAGCCGCGGGTTGGTAGAACTGGGAAAAGCTTCCTTGAGACCCTCGGGACAAAGGAGCGGTCGTATTGGCCAGTTCTAGATGTACGAAGTTCGACACGGTTAGGATGAGAGGTCAAAGTCAGGCGGGTCTGTCTGGCAGGCACATCGCGCGGCGGCATCATGGAAGAGAGCTCTGAGGAGCAAAGCCCGTTGGTGTAGCGGTAGAAGAGAGGTAGATCGACGACCGCCCGCTGGTGCGAAAGAGTCCCGAGACTGTCTGTTAGAGAAGAGTCATCGATCAGTCGGACCGCCCTCCTTTGGACAGCATCGAGCATGGATAATGTAGTAAAGCAACATTCGCTTTGATATGATGATAGAACCTGACCAAAGCCTATTATTTTAGCATCTAAAATATAGCTTAAGTAGCAGTATTTCTGGGCAAATAAATTGGTAAAGGTTACATTTTGGGTAAAACCCAAGAAAATCTAGTTTATTCTATAAAAAGCATCAGAGTGTTACTAGAATGGTTCAAAATCGACCAACAACAGTTTATTTAGGTGCTAAAATAGTAATTCGCTGAATTGCTGTAAAATAGGTAATGTACTAACAAAAGTTCCCGAAGACTATTCGTAAGTCATCATAATTGTGAAAATGTTTGATTGAAAATGCCTGCAAAAAGTCAGCAACTAACGGGTGATTTTTTAAGAGGTATAGGATTTGATTTTCAAAAAAAAAAACACAAAAAATTTGAAAAAACGATTAAATCTTTATTTGAGTCGATAGAACGGACGATATAATTTAATGTTTAAAGATTATTTCATGTAAATCTTGGCCGCGGCTCCGCTTTAGATGGCCCATGCGCAAGGCCCAATTTTGGCACATTCTCTCCAACATATCGGCCGGTATCTCACGAAAAAATGCTTCAATATTGGCTTCCAGTGCGTCAATCGTTGCTGGTTTATCCCTGTAGACATTAGCCTTAACATGGCCCCACAAGAAATAGTCCAACGGCGTTAAATCACACGATCTAGGCGGCCAATTGACGGGCCCCAAACGTGAGATAAACTGGTCACCGAACTCGCCTCTCAATAGGGCCATTGTCAGCCAAGTCCAGCTCTTCCATTTTGGGCAAAAAAAAGTTTGTTATCATCGCACGGTAGCGCTCGCCATTCACAGTTACGTTCCGGCCATTGTCGTCTTTGAAGAAGTACGGCCCGATGATGCCACCGGCCCATAATCCACACCAAACAGCGATTTTTTCGGGATGCATTGGTAGCTCTTGCAATGCTTCTGGCTGGTCTTCACTCCAGATGCGGCAATTTTGCTTCTTAACGTATCCATTCAACCAGAAATGAGCTTCGTCGCTGAACACAATTTTTCGATAAACATGTGGATCTTCCTCCAACTTTGCCAGCGCCCATTCACCAAATGGCAAACGTTGTGGGAGGTCGCGTGGCTTCAATTCTTGCACCAGCTGTATCTTATAAGGTTTTACACCCAAATCCTGTCGCAAAATTTTCCACGTAGTGGAGTCATTGCTGCGAACGGCGGCGAATCGACATTAATTTCACGGTCATCACTAACACTGGCGGATACAGCCGCAATATTTTCTTCAGACCTCACTCTACGTCTGCGTGTTGGTGGTTTAATGTCCAATAAACTGGGGTCAAAATTTGGTCACAAGCTTCCGAATAGCTCCCTCAGTAGGCCGACCAAATTGCCCATAAATTGGAAGCAGTGCTCGATGCACTCTCTTAACCGAGCATGAATTTTGATAGTAAAATTCAATAATTTGCAAGCGTTGTTCGTCCGTAAGTCGATTCATGGTTAAATTATATACCGAACTGAACAAGTTCGACAATGACACAAGACACGATTCACGCGTCATCTGTCAAAACAGTGTTGCCAAAAAGATACTAGCAAAAAAATCACCCATTATAACAGGGCTTATTGTAAGATTTACAAACAGCATGTGGGATCCATAACTAAGGAGACTAGTTTATTTCTTAATAGTGATACGAAGGTTAAAACTTTTACTGAAGATCCGAACATACACTGAACAAAACTAGTACCCACTCTTTTGAAATTCGTTTTTCGAGCTATACATGTGTTGATTTTTCCAGACGTGGTACTTAATGTTTTTCTGTGGATTTTATTGGCCATGAAATCATTTAACTTAGCCCTATGCCCGAGGCACCAGGCTGCGAGATGGGGCTTAAGCCGCCTCAATCATAAGCTTTTGCGTTTTCTCGGTTTCTTTATTGGGCAGCGAATGCGGTACTATTGGTAGCCGATATTATAAATAAGCCAAAATAAATAAAACGATGTTTTATAGTACAAAAAAGAAAGAATCATCAATGTTCATGTGAAATAAGAGTACTTTTTCTAACAACCTGCTTCATGGTAATGGCTCAATTTACAGTAAGTATAAGCAGTTTTAACTATAGAATATTTATATTTGTTATTAGGGAGGACATTTCTCTCCGTCTATTACAAGAGTCACAAGTTGTCAACGTAACTATGAGAACATTCGCCTTTTTTTATATCGAAACAGCCTCAGAAGCCTAAATGCCGGAATTTTTACAATCTCAAACTTTGTTCACATTATTTATCAGCTAACGTTGTCTAAAAAGAACTCGATACTTTTCGAGAAAGCTTGGAAACAAGATTAAAAAAACTGGATCCTTAAACAAATTCGGGAATTTTTGAATTCGGTGTAAAAAACTTAATAATAGCATCGCTGAACACACCATCACAAAAATCCAATCAGCGACCGCAGAAAAACATACAAAAACGTGACCAGCCGCCTTAAGAAGCACAAGACGCTGAATCTTAAAATACGCTACTGGGTTTCTTTGTTGTACACAATTTCGCTCTCTGCAAGAAGCCTTTCCCGCTTTTGTTCTACTACATTTAAAAACATTCAGGCGTCAGTTACATAAGCCGCAAGAAAGATTCAGACCTTCGACCCTAATTGTGGGGTTAGACTCAAGCTCAGAGGCTTTAATCGTTATTGACAATAGTCAGCTGAGCCTCCCCGAAAATGTCGTGGAAAATGACAAAATCAATCCCACAATTTCACCGTGTTTTCTGCTATAGATAAAGATTTATTGAGCCAGAGAATGTACAATGAAATTTTTGGTGAGTCAGAACATTTGACAATAACAATAATCAATTATGAAAACAAAGAAAATTCATAAATTTCTATTTTTACGTTACGATTACGCTAGTGCATGTAAGAAAATTGTAATGGCTGCCATTTCAAGGCTGGTGAGGTAGAACATTGTAGGAGGGTGGATCTATCGATAAAAATATCTGAAAAATACCGCCCTTAAATATCGGTATGTCGTGACCAAGCACATTGTATACAGGGTGACTTCTAAGTTGAGTCATTTATTTTAACAGTTAGTAGATCTGCTCAAAAGAAATGTTTTTTTCCTTTACCATTTTTCTGGTAATTAAAGTAACAAAGTTATAGCCCTTTGGAAGTTTGAGTACCGCCCTGTCTCAATAATAATATTATGTGCTCGTGTTTGGCGACAATGGATATAATCCGCCTTATCGGTTCATCGCATCGGAAACAAAAAAGCGAAAGAATTTGGAACGATGTTTTTACAATTATTTTATTCAGTTGTATACAGTCAGTGTCAGTCGGTAACGCGTGAGTGAATAGTGGTGTCTGTTGCGTGGCTCAAACGAAATCAAAAATGGCACATGTTTATGCGGATCGGTTTCCCAATCGAGTGCAGCCAACCCCTCGTGCCTTTGTTAATGTAGTACAACGGGCTCGTGAATCAGGTAACTTAAGACCTCACAGGGGACGGCATGCCGGTGCTCCAAGACCTCACGATCAAATACAGGTCCGCACTGAAATACTTGTCGGGAGGATACTTTATAAAACAAGGTAATATTTTTTTTATTTTTTTTTTTATTTTTACACACATATTTTGGTTTATCTTCCTTCGACAATCATTATCTGAAAATTAATGACTCAACTTCAAAGTCACCCTGTACTTGTAACACAGACATCATATTAAAGTTATAACAAAGAACGGTAAAAATAGATTAAACTGAAAGGTTTCAATAGTGGTATTTTACCAAAATCCGTCTAAAATGAAGACGGTGTTTCATTTTATACTTGTAAATTGTACTAGTTGCCATAACCAACTACATACGAGGGCGGTTCAATAAGTACACGTGTTAGAAATGAAGACACCATTTTTTCCAAAAAATGTCTTTTTATTTTTCAACATAATCCCCTTTTAGAAAGATACAGTTTTCCCAACGTTCCTGGCATGTTTTCACCCCCCCCCCCCTCCAAAAAGAATTTGTCGAATTCACCAAAATACGCCTGTCTCGGCGATGACTTTCTCGTTTGAGCTAAATGTTTTCCCCGCGAGCCGTTTCTTCATGTCAGGGAACAAGAAAAAGTCGCAGGGGGCCAGATCGGGTGAATACGAGGGGTGCGGCAGCACCTCATAACGCAATTCATGCAGTTTGGCGGCGACAACTCCGGATGAATGTGCTGGAATGTGCAAAACCCGTACACAAAATGCATGTCAGTCAGTTCTCTGTCTGTAAATCTTGGCATTTTAAATTGATTTAATAAAAATTTTGATTTTAATCTAGTAATTTTACGCTGCTAACAATGTCAGCTTAACGTCAAAATAAGTCATAACAAATCAAAACAACTTTTGTTTGCAGTCATGGCTAACTATGTATAATCAACAATTCATTTAAATTCGCAGTACATTTCCATGTGACAAATTTTTTAGTTTGATTTTATTCAAAAATGGCACAATTTATCGATATTCAATAAGAGTACCTTTTTTATGTAGAAAACCTTAAATTTTCAAATTCTTAAATTGAATTTCAAAAATAGAGTCACACAAAAATGTTGGGGCTCGAATAACTTGAGTCCGTTCATGTTACATACGCTTCCAAACAAAACTGTCTAAAAATGTTAATATTTTTAAATCCAGCATAAAAAACTAGGCTAGATTACCAAATTTTATGTCTTTATCTCAACACGTTTCGAAAATATTAAGGAAAAACCACCTTCAGGGGAGCCCCTTTAAAGGACCCTAACGCCCTTAGGGGACGTTTGTCGACCTATGTTGTTTCTTCCTATGTTAAGCTCTAGAAATCGCTGGTAGAATATTGCACACTTTTTTCAGGTATAAATAAATTATATAAATGTTAATTTTATTGTTTTTCTTGATTTATTATTTCGATGAGATCAATTAAACATATCTAGAGTCGTGTCATTCGTTTATGAGCTGCGACAGGGATTTCGCCCAAATTGAAAAGCGAAATGGATTTGGTGAGAATGATG